AAGATACTTAAAATTAGTAAATAATAAACTAAAGAAAAGAGTTATCGATAAGATTATATGATTAAAGGTCTGTAAGGAGTACTAACTTTATAATAGTGTATATTACAGACCTATATTTGTCTTTTATATCTTAAAAGCTACTATACTTATAAGTACTATGGCTGATCTACTTTAAATGGTAGCTATATAGTATATTTAGAGAAGCTGTAATTACTATATAGATAATAGTATTAAGTCTGCGTATTTAATATGGAACTAAAATAGCTATAGCTAAGCTAATTACCGATATAGTACTATTTAACTATAATAGAAGTATTCGAATCGTCTCCGATTATGAATATTACTAAAGGTACGTTAGTATATATTAACCGCTGGTTCAGAAATATCTGTTACTAAGCCTATTATATACTCTAACTAATTCTAACCTGGTATACCTAGTATATATTAGAATATCGACTAAGCTAATAATCCTCTAGGGCTATACTATTAAGGCCTATAGGTGAAAAAATAGTATAAGAGGGGCTATTGTTAGTATATCTTAGTCGATTGAAGTATACTCCCTATATCTAAGAAGAAGAAAAGATAGAGCTTATATAAGTATAAGTGGATTTTAGTAGGTAGAGCTAAACTAAGGGATTTAAGTATAGATTAGAGGTAATAGATCCTAAGGAAGTCTATATTACTATATCCAGTTAACTATAGGACCCCTACGTAGGTTTTCGATAAATATACCTCTTATATAAGAATGGAGCCTATTTAAATCTTTTATTTAGGCTTTTAGTTATAAGTAAGCTATTATTGTCCTCTACGATATCGATAAAATCTATATAATAATGTTATACTAGGATTTGTTCGAAGGGAGTAGTTAGGTAGGGATAAACTTAGAATACTAACAGTTTAGTAACCTATAAATAGTCTAAATTAGTCCTAAGGACCGCTTAGGTCTAAGGTAACTAGCTACGTTCGATTCTTATCTATTATATAGCTAATGGATCTTAGGTAAAAGTCCTTCTAAAATATCTTAAGATTGTTATATTCCTATAGCCTAACCTTCGGCTCCCTCTTAGGTAATACACTAGAGTGCTAGCCGCCTATTCTATATTATATATTGCTACTTATTTATTTTAATAACTACTAATAGTATCTTATTTTCTATAGCTAATACTACCCTTTTCTCCTTATTAGAGATACTTTTTAAGGTAAGATAAATAGTATACCTAGTATAGTAAATTAGTTAGCTGAATGTTTTAATATAGAGAGCTCTGAACTTTATATACGATATAGAGAGTTCTATCGTTGTATATATAGTAATTTCAAACGTATACAACTGTTATATTAAGAGTTGTACTTTTATAACCCTAAAGGAATTAGAACGATCTTAGTTCTGGTTTGTATATAGTACTGTTGGCCGAGCGTTTAGTCTATTTTCTTAGGTATCCTAGAATCTAGTACCTATATCTCTGTTACCTTGGATTAATAATTAAAGATAATATTAGATTTTATAACTAAGCTTACTAGGTTCTGATTAGTATAATACTAATAACAGTCTCCTAAAGTAGTGTTAATAAAAGAAGATCGATAGTATAGTCCTATTTTTAAAGCCTTAGTTATACTTTTAGTAGCTTTAATATTTTCTAAAGGGTATAAATACTCCGCTATGAGCTTTTGTCTAGGTAGTGGGCCTAATAATATTAATTGGTTTAAAAGTTGTAAGCGAAAGAGATACTAATCTAGAGTATAGTTAGTTAATATAGTATAACGAGTGAATTAAGGCTGAACTTACTATAGTATATTTAAAAGTAGTTTTTTTATTTAGTAAAGTAGTTTAGAGGTAGAGGAATAATAAAGACTATTCTTTTTGGAGTAAGTAACTAAATATATATCCCTTTGAAATGGTATTACTTTAGGTAGATATGCTAAGGGGGAGAGCGATATTTAGAGTTCCTAGGATTTGAATAAATAGCTATAGGCCCTTAGAATAGCTTAGTAGGCTCCTAGGAACGCCCCACAGGCTCCTAGGAGACTATTGGGGTATTACTATTAATTGTTTGTTATCGGCTTATAGATTACTTAGTAATAGTATGAAAGATATAACGTTATATACTTAGGAAAGCCTTTGGCCTATACGCTTATTAGCGAGAGAAGTGGTTTATTATTATTACCTGCTGATACTAATTTTTTTAGTTGCCCTAATATAGAGAAGGGTTCTAGATCTTTAAGGAAACCTATGTAATCGCTTTTGCCCTAGTATTAATTTAAAGCCCGATTAGGGAATTGCTAGGCTTGTAAGCGAAGTATTCTGAGGGGAGTTCCTAGGAGCATAGGCTGAAATGGAAAATAATAGGTTAATTGAATAGCCCTACTATAAGCTTTTTTACTTAGAGAGGATCGAGACCGCTAAAACGAACGGTTACGTTGGCTGCGCTAGTCTTTTTTGATAGGCGATCTAAATAGGAAGGGTTGCACGTGATAGGATTAGCGTGTCGCATTTTATTAATATAGCTTACTCAGGCCGCTTATCCCTACACTCAGTGAGTACTTAGTAAGCAAATCAGAGTGCTTAGATGATGATTAGTGAGCAGATTAGGTTAATTATGTAATGGCCCGTGATTAAGTCAGAATACTCAGGGACGTGCTTAGTTTTACTCAGTGATCAAAAAGCGGCAAGAGGTGAGCACTAAAACAGAAAGGGAAAGGTCTCGAGTGCCAGGCATTATCCGGTACATATGCATTGTTTGGTGCCTATTGGGCCCAACTAGGGGCCCATTGAAAGCCCATTGGGCCCTACCCCCGGGCCCAAAGCCCAACCAATTAGTGGGCTGGGTTGGGCTTTGGGCTTTAGGTATGGGCTTTACGGAGGTCTAATTATGAGCGAGGTACTAGTTTATGAAATGGCGCATTATAGACTAAATCGTTTATTATTCCCGGCAGTCAGCGCCCATTAGTTCCAAACGGACATCTCAGAGTTCCATAATTCAACTCCTCGAATGAAACGAGAAAACGGGAGGGTTATATATGTAACTAGGGAGTAGATGTCATTGGCAGGAATTGCGGTTACAGTCACTAAATCATTCCGTAGAAGGATAATATCCCCGCTTACTCCTATTATTATTACTCTCTCTACCCATCAGAATGTTCAAAGATTGCCTTCCCCTTATCGACCTGGCTACAAAGCAAAGTTCTTCTACTATCTCTAGTACAAGAACGGCTTTGCGCCAGTTTGGCGCTTTTCGACTTGTGGCCCCCCAACTCACTGGGCATCTTTCACAGAGAGTTTTCCAAGATGTAAAGGCCTTTCTATCCAACTAGCTTTGAATATTCTGACGTATAGCCCTAGGCTCGTCAATTTTTTCCAATTACCAATTGAAGTAAAAAGTAAAACAAGAGGTTACTCGGCCTTCGGCACAGAACTTGTCCGTGGGAAAACTGGCATTCCTAAGGAAAGTGTTTACTTTAGAAAGGGTGTAGAGAATTATCATCCTCCCTCCTCGGAATTCCAATACTCCGTGAAAGATTTGCATCATGTAAGTCGCCTCTTAGCTTTGTGATATAGATAGTAGACTATAAAGGAAATCTCTTTATCTAATAGATATAGATCTAGAGGTAATAAAGCTATAGTTACTAGAGACTATAACTTAGATATAGGCCTTAGGGAAGAAATATAAGACTAGAGTAGATAATAATTTTAAGTAATATTAGTAGACCTGGCAGTGACCCGCGGGTGACCCTCACGACCCTCGAACCGCCCCAGTGGCGGGGCGGTTCGAGGGTCTAACCTTCCGACCCGGAGGGTAGTCCACCTAGAGGTTGGACCCTCGGAGGGTCACCCGCGGGTGACCCTGAGGGTCGTCAAACAGGACAAACAAGCAAATTTTATGATAAAAAATAAGTTTTATGTAAATAATTATGCAAACACCATTATATAAGCAGATTTATACATCCCAATTAGGCTTAGAGCTACATATTTATGCATCCGAGGGTCGCTGCGGGTCATAGAGGATCACCCGCATGCGACCCTCATGGAACCAGGGTCAGGGTCAGGGTCGCTCATGAGCGAACCTGACCCTCGGAGGGGCGGGTGGAGGGTCCAAGATCATGGACCACCCGGAGGGTCACTGCCAGGTCTAAATATTAGAGAAATATATCCTAATATATTTCTCTAATCTACCCTAATCTATTTTAGAAGACCTAACTATAAACAAAATACTTAATATTATAAGTAAGAAATGTATTAAGTATATAGCTACACACTAGAAGGCTATTTAGCTAGTTTACTCTATATTAGGGCCCTAATAGGTTACCTAATAGGTTTTAGGTTATAGGTAGTGAATAACCTAAAACCCATTATTAGGTTAAACCAATGGACCTAAAACCCATTTTGGGTCCGGTAGAATGGGTTGTGCCGAAGTCTAGGAAATATAGTATAATAGTAGCAGTCGAAGAAGGTTTTAGGCTTGATTTCTGACCGCGGTCAGAAATAGTATAGGCTAAAGTGGCTTTTCACGCATAAGTGATTTCTAATAGCTGTTAGAATTAGTAGTAGTGTATTAGAATTAGAGCGGGCTGTAGGAGCTTTTACCCCCTTGAGGTGAAAAGGAAATACAACAAGATACAGGTAAGAAATGCATAATTTATGTAGATACGACTCTTCCTATGTTTGCACTGTTTAGTAACCCGCATGGGTAACCCGCAAACCCGCGTGGGTTACCCAAGCTAACCCGAAACCCATTGCGGGTTATGAAAGTCGACCCGAAACCCACCCATTTGCGGGTTGGGTTTTTTTCGGGTTTGCGGGTTTGCGGGTTTTGGCGCAGTCTAATATTAAATAATCAGAGTAGCTACTGGCAGTTACTTACATAGACTGCAGCTCAACCAAATGTCTCATGGCACGTAGGGCATTCGATGGCATTAATTACAAATGAATTTGTGAGATCCAGTATCTCAATAAAAAGTCATGTGTGAACGAGAACGTTGCAGACACCGCCATGGACCATCCCTAACTAGGTTCCCTCAGGTTGCTGCGGCGGGTTAGGCTCAGCGGGGTGGAATTGGTCCAGAATGCCAAGTGGGCGCTTAAGGTTATCTAACCAGCGCTGTTGCTGCTTAACCAGCGTACCTACCACTGTCCATTGCTCAGTTGCATGAGCCTCCGCAATTTCGACTGTGAGCTCTTCCAGCATATCCAAATTGCGTTTCATGTCTGCCCATGCTTCATAGGCCATTTTCTTGCTGATTGAGCGCTTGTTGCGTTGGTGGCCCCGAATTTGATCCCCTGGGGTCAAAGGGGCCTGCGCACGCTTCCAGAAGCTGGCATCGCTCAAATTGTCCATTCCAGATGCAGTTGGCGCAGGCAAAAAGATACCCTTCGCCCTCCCGTAGTTACACGCACTTTGCCTATTAACTCATCAGTCACCTTCATTCCTCCTGACTATTGGAGTACCTAAAAGGAGTAACATACCCAGGGGCCAAATCCCTTCAGACAGCTATCGCACCGATGTTCGTTGGTCTTCACCTCTCCCTGGCAAAATACCGCTGCAGATTCGACATTAGCCAGGTGGTTGCCAAGTATCTCATCCTCGCGTCTGCCACCCGCGAAGTAACGCTCGCGAGCCATAAGCTCCCGGACCGGTTCCTGTTTCAAAAGCATAGGGAGCTGGCCTTTCAGTGATTCCCCCCTACGAGCAACTTTGAAAGCGGCCCGCCAGATAAACCGTGCCCACTCCCCCGGAGGTCGGTCTGAATCCCCCGCATGCGCCTCCGGGACGACGAATGGCTCCCCGATCTTCGCATAATCGGGCTCGCTAGGCCAACGATCGTTCATATCAGTTTCATGCCTCACTTTGATCCAATATAGGAGACTTACTAGGTCGGTAGGACAGCGCCTAGCCCGCGAGATGTTGCTTTGCGGGTGATTTGCCATTCAGAGAGTTGCGGGGGGTCCTGAGGGGGGTCCGAGGGGTTGCTCTGTGAGGTGCTCAGTGGGGTGCATTGGGTTGGAGCAGGGGTTGGATTTTGAGGCTGTTGCCCGGTCGAATCCCAGGTAGTATCCATCTTGGTGATATTTGAAGGGAGGCTGGAGATGTAAAAGGTAGACGGTGGATGGAAAGGGAGAGAGGGGATAAGAGATATGAGTTGAAAGATGGAAGGTTGAAGATGGGAGGTTGACGAGTGTTGACTTGAGGGCCTCAGTGATCTGCCTGATTAAACCAAACTTCTAATTACTCCCCTCTTACATCTCAGAGACCTACAATCCACATCCCCCCTTATCCACCGACGGTACGTAACGACTATAAAGCACTAAGGAAGAAGCTCACGGCTAGTCAGTCATGAATCTCAACCATTGCGATGCATCTCGACCTTACTATGACCCTACGGATGCACCTCGACCCCTTACCAGGAGAGATGAGGCGGGGCCTGCCGATGAAGAGGAGCCGGGTTACTGGGCTGAGGCCGCACTCGCAAATCCCTGGAGAAGAGGACGCCGTAATAGTCACAACATGTCAACTAGACTGTACGCACTACGCGAGAATGGACTGTACCGCGAGCCTGTTTTGCGTGCGTCCCGGTCCTCCTACGATGGCCCAGCATTCTACCGATTAGTTGGATGGAGGAGCGAGAACGTCGAAGCACTCTTGGCACAAGCAACTGGTACCCAGGTCCTACCTGATCAAGCTTGCAATCACTGCCAGCGGGGTCAGGGGTTATTTGCCTCATGTATTATTGTCCCAGGCAGACTTGTTGACTGTGCGAATTGTCATTGGGCTGGACAGGGACATCGATGCAGTTTCCGTGATCGAGCACCCACAGAATATGTTCCTTTAAGACAGAGCGATATAGAGCGAAGGCTTCAGGGGTTACGTGAGACCCGTGAAGATCTTATGGCTCAGCTTCGGCGAGTTGATCAGGAAATCGCACGACTCTTGTGTGAGTTACCGGGTTCTACCCTACCCCAAAACCCGTAACTCTCACAAGAGTTACGGGACAATCCATCACTAGCTTTTATAAATTCTACGAGTTCCTCAGCAAGTACATTTTTCAAAGTACGGAATCAAGGAACGATGAATGGCTTTTCAATATTACCACAGTTATACGTAAAGCTAAGACAATGAACGCTACCTAGCAATATAAGATAATTATAAAGCTAAGTAATATAAGCTATTGGCTACCATTGCAACTCGACTGGTACATTAAGTAAACTTATCCCGCGATCACCAGTGCAGCCTACTGCACAACATGATATCGACATCGCCCGGTTCTCAAAGTTAGCTGGGGTGGCTCGATCTCATAGCAAAGGAGTCAGTCCAACGAGATCGAGACCCATCGTCGTTATGATCTGGCGGAGGGAACCAATGTCAAATTCGAGCCGATCACTGCCCTGGGAGCTTGAGGCCATTGCGCCGTCAAGAAGGTCGTCTTTAGTGAGATAAATAGGCTGTTCAAACGCCCCATGAACCGGGAAAATTCGGTTACTCCTGATCATGTATGCATTGCCAGTGGAATTGCGCCCCCAGAGTTCTATTGTGCCAGCAACACCTTGTTTGCGCTGTAAAAACTTTATGAGAAGAACCTTGCGCACATTCGGGCCCACTCCTTCTAACCAAAGTGTCGTATCTTCAACGAGGCTCCGATATGTCTGGGAGAAGCCAACCTCAATCACAATCCTTGGTTGTTGTAAGTTAGGAGTTCCGAAGACCGAGATGAAGGTATCCGGTTCTTTTCGATCACCGTTGTATGGCGGGTTGGTAGCAGTAACGCTCGGGCTTGCTGTTACCATAACGTCAAGATGTTCAGCTGGAGTAAGTTGATGGTTAATATGCCAACGGGTTAGCTGGTGGACAAACCATGCAAGCGGGGCTTCGTGGGTATAATTTGGCATTTTCAGTGTAAGAACTTTTCTCTCGTAGAATAATCCTTTCCGAATACGGGGATACTTTGCGTCGATAAGTTTTAGAAGCTCGATTGCAATATCATGATCCACAGAGGTAAGCACAATAAACGACGAGGAGAGAGACTGGTTAAAGAATCCACTGCCTTGGATTATCGCCAATGCTTCCTCGGCAGATTTGACTTCGTCGAGGGAGAGTTCTTGGTCAAGGGTGTAGTCGTCACTGTCGTAAGAGTCTTGTGACGTGGAAACAAGTGGCGAAGACATGATGTGTAAAAGAAAAGGAGGGGGGTGCTTTGTTGAAGATGAAAAGTGCAAGTATGGAAGTCGCGAAGTCAAGTACAAATGTGACACGTGATCAAGGCGGAGAAGCATTGTCGTCCCGAAGGGTTTGCAGGGTTTGCATTACTCTGGCTGCCTCAGGCAGCTCGCAGGAAGTTGTCCAAGCATTTTACCACTAGACCGTAACAAAAACCAAGATTCCTGTTTATAGCCTAGGGCGGCTTGTATTGTCTTGTCACACATCGTCTTGTCACATTGTCTTGTCAGAAGTTGTCAAAACCTATCGTTTCAGGTATTATTGCGGAGCGAAGCGAAGCAATATAAATCATAAGGCCTCGCATGTCACGTGACTGGATTCTCTCTTATGGGTCTCAAAATCACAGAAGCTACGCGGTGAAAAAGAGATCGCTGAGAACCGGCAGAATATCCCACCCGGCCGAATAATGTACACTAGTCCTAATTCAGATGTAGTCACGTGATATGATGGTCCTTTTTGAGCAGACAGCCTTAGGCACCTAACTAAATCACGTGCTATACTATTCAACTCTAAATTACACAGGGTCACGTGACGGCCATGACCGAGCGCTAAAGCTAGCATTTACTAGGTCGCCTAAGGCTCCCCGCGCTCCCTCCCCCTGGAATGGCCTCCCCCAGAGGGGATCGCTTACTGTTACTACTATATGCTTCACTCCGCAAAGACTATCAAGATAGCGAAAGCTATCGGGATCACTGGTAATTTAATGATAGACTCGGCAGCGATAGAGATTATTCCAGTCCATCTCATATGGACAGTGGCACATTAACAATTTTGGTCCGAGCCCCAGAAGCACACGATGGGTTAGAGATCGCCGATCTTGGGACAACAGAAAGGCTTGACAGCGAGGGCATAAGACTAAATGCCTCATTTATCTCCGTCCCAGCGATGGCCGATGAAGTCATCGTGCTTGTAGGAACTCGTTTGCAGCGTCTTCTGGGTAAAAGCAAAGTGCGTGCTTGTGTGCACAGAGTTTGCAGCCCTGCACAGATAGACAACATGTGTGCTATAAAGGAGAGACTAAGTCTTGCAATTTTCTGCGGACCTCCTCCAATATAAATAGACAGCCAGTGGTTCGAGAAACACTTGGCGTGGATCATGATTACTATATATATAGCACTGCGGACCGCTTTATACAAACGCTAGGAATTAGGGGACACACGCGGTCGAAGTGGCTTTAATATGCTCATAGATCGGCAAATAATTCATGATAACGCTTTTCACTCTTAAGCCTGTCGACAGGTAGAAGAATCTACACACCAAGAAAGTATGGAAAAGAATTTCGGGTATTCCGTCCACGGATCCACGGGTTAATACAATGCTGACTTATGTTATATCAAATACTAGTAAGCACGTTTGCCTACATTGTTCTACCTCAAGACTATAACGTATTAGCCCATTGCTATGGATAGGGAATTGTTTGCATGGACCTAAGGATTCTTCGAAGCTGGCATAAAGGCCGGTCTCATAAATTGCAAGCATTTCGAAGTCATTCGGGACCCTGACATTTTGTGCCTTACAGATTGTTTGTAGAGGCGATGATCTTCACGGTAGTCTAGCTTCCACCTATTATACAATGAGGATATCATGTTGCGAAGATTGAGACTGCTTTCGAGCCATGTCAATCCAAGAGGTATGGGTACCAGGCTCATTCCACCAGGTCTCAACGAACGAGAGAACACGCGCTCTGTCTAGAGTTCGGCTGATACGCATGACATTTCCAAAACATTCCTGAATAATCCTTTGACCAGTAGGATATCCTCGGAGTTCAGTTCCTGCCATGAAAAGTGGCCAGACAAGGTCCTGGGCGAACATGCCGTCTCGAGTCTCGGAGAGAAATTGTACATAGCGGAGGATTTCATCCCGGGACGTGCGCACATGATCACCATAAGTAGCATCCTCTGATAAAGCTTGATGGCTGTAGATGATAGTTGCGTGGTAGTACATCCACACTACCAGTTCAAAACCATGTTGATCAGCTTCAGAGGAGAAGTGAATTGATTCACTAAGACGCATCATGCTGTTTCTAGCTGACTCAATCTGCGACTGTATGTCTTGCATCGGCCCGTATGATGAAGCCTGCTCGACCGCCCCCGAACAAAAGCGTAAACGCTCGAGGCGGGTGATTTGGTCAATGACCTGAATGAAGTCGGTGAAGACCGCGTTCTTGCTGCTAGCAGGAGGAGCCTTGATCGCCATATTGTAATTATCAAATGTCGTCAAATCAGCCCATACCGAAGCCTCATAGAACTCCAACATGAGAAACTCTTCAATGGAGGCCAGCTGGTGGTGTCGGCTCGGTCGGTTCCCTGCGGCTAGGATGATCTCCCTTGCAGCAGAAAGGTGAACCCTCCACCCAGCGCCTTGTGGTTTCATAAACTCATTATTGCAGAGAATAATCACAGATGCAAGGGTGTATGCAGATGTTGTGCTCGCCTGCAATGCTGTAGACGAGGTAGAAAGACTATTCAACTCCTGAGCCAAAAGGGAGAGGGATTTATTCTGATAATTTTTCGACATCTGCTGGAATGTTCCATGTCCTAGGTCATTTGGAGGGTACTCCGATGCCAGGTCATGGGCAGCAATGGCGAGAATGGAAGAAAGGACTGTTTCGGAGCTCTCGGCCATTGGTAAAATCATCTGACGCCACGCATTTTGCTGCGGAACCCACGCAAGTCGATGGGCGACTCGATCGTTAAACCAGGAAAGCAATCGCGAAACATGCAGTGGGCGAGTTTGCGATAAGCAAAGATCCGAGACAGGTGATGGTCTCGATGGTGAGAAACCTGCCGTGGAATGGCTGTACCGATCCAGAACAGTTATGCCGCTGTCGGTAGTGCGGGTCTCTGTTAAGCTATCCGACGAATGATGAGGCGAGTTTGATGCTCTGATAGGAGCATCGGGGGAGGGAAATGCTCTGCCCCGCAGACTGCCGCGGCTGGCGACGCCATGGACCCATTTGAGCTGTAGGCCGTAGCCAGGGCATTCTAAATTGCGCTTTCCGCATTTACCGCAGCTGGGAAGGCCCCGATCACACTTGATACGCCTTCTTTGACAAGTTGGACAATCTGGTAATGTTAGGACCCCGCTTTAACACGAGGTGAGATCCATACCTTTAACAGCCAACTGTTCCGTAGAACCTGCGGACATTTGTATATCCCATTCGACTCTCTACTAGGGACCACGGAGAATGTTGGCATAGAACTAGGGCGTTGGATATGGGGTAGCGCTGGCTTTTTCATAAAATCATGTGATACACACAGAAATGGAAATTTGATGCCTTTGACTGAGATGAGAGGCGCTAAACCCATTTAGGCCGTTTAGTCAAGCGGATTTCTCTCCACTTGTACCAAATGCCTCGAGTATACAATATATAACATCACAAGTGATAGTGCTTTGTAGTGATGTATTTAATTATTTATTTGTCTTTTAGGCTATTAATTCATGTCAGGTAATTTATCTCAATTCTTTTACTCCATACTATGAAGTTGATTAATATAACAAATGTAGACAAGCTTTCCAAAAGAGGTTAGATCTCCCCATAATAAACTCAATGCTTCCCTCTTGGCTGCCCCTTCTGGCAAAGATCGCTGGTATCAAGAGAAGTACACTCTTTCCTGTCATATCCTTTAAATACAGAAGCATTTACATCATCTTACCTAGATCATGTCTTCGCTTGATCTTGACCTCGTTGCTCCCACGATCCATGTCAATAGCCAGTGCTATGAGAAGCGTGACGTTTCTGCTTTGGCAGGGCACGTCGTTCTCTCAGCGACTTCATTCCCACCTTTGGCCAATTTGACCCATATCCACGTTCGGTTTATTCAATTTGTGACATCTACAGCGGATAGCAAAACCACTTGGCGGGATTTATGTCGGTTCTACAAATCAACGAAGAAATCACACCAGCCGAGTTCAAGGAATGAACGAACTATTCAACACGTTTCTCTCCCGATACTGTCCAAAGGACTAGTGAGTTCCGCAGGGAGGATTGTCTCAAAGTCTTACTTCAACTTGGAGATTCCAACAAACATACCCGGAACGACAGAAACACCTATTGGAAGCATCACCTACGCGATAGAAGCCACGGCAGCGACATCAAAACATGTGCTTATCACCAACCGCCGACCCCTAAAGCTTAACCGCCAAGTAATTCAGTCTGACCCGACAAAGACTCAGTATCGCGTATACTTCCCAACCTCAAACTCCATACAAGGGATGATCCTCTCGCAAAACTCGACACCGAGATCTGGACCGCGGATCTCATTCACGGCTACAATACATACTCGTTGGGAGACAGCCCAGGCGGATCGTGCAACAGAGCGTCGCCATATTGTGGTACGAGAACTGAGGTGGCAAGCCGAAGAGATAGTCAAGCTCATGAGCAAGTCCAATAGCTCAGACGAGAAATATTCTATCTGCGAACGACAGTCGGTCCGCAAGTTATGCGATGGAAGTACAAAAGAGTACTGGGGATATGGTCACAACCCATACATTAAGCAACCACACGGACAGAACGTCGAGGGAAAGGGAGGAGAGAATTCGAATATTTGCGTTCCGTTTGGTTTCACAATCCCAAAACAGGTCGCGGTCGTCGATGACATTGACCTTGCTGCATATGATATCGGCGCGGATAGGGTTGGCGATATTCCACAGTGCAGTTTTCCTAGGGACGTTTGTTTCCCCTCGCCGGAAAAAATGACGAAGGGAATTATTGTTTATCATCAGTTGAAGATTGAAATTGTTACAGGGGAAGATGTGTTTCATAAATGTACTGGCAAGCTTGTGGAGCGGATCCAGCAAACTATTACATGTCCTGCAATTCCGTTGAGTGTTTGCGAAGTATCTATCTAGCTACTATTATCTATGACTATGACTTGGCTGATTGGCTTGGCTGTATATGTACCGGTCTAACCTGCTGTTATAGTTCTATGAGAAGTCAGTCAATGTCCCAGAATCAAGGGTCTAACTTAGTACTACAAAAGAAATATCAAATCTATTTGCCTGGGTGGTTGAACATCAATTCGAAATCTTCATCCTCCAAATCCGCTATGGGCAGTATTTAGCAAGGTAAACCAGGTGTATAAATTTGACCAGCGATATTGTTCCCACATGAATAATCAATGGGCACAATTAATCTCAATGAGATCATCTTATGCCAAGGTGGTTACAATCCCATCCGATAAAACAACAGCACTATGATCGATGTCCCCACAAAATCCACGGCAAAGCGCTTTGCCGGGCAAAATGCGGAGAGAACAAGACCAAAGAGTATGAAAAGAAAATATCCGACCACCTAATACAACATACTTACACACTTATAATTGATCTCATCTCCCATATATTATCCAGTCTCATATCCAATCCTCCAAAAATACCATCGAATCCCCCAATTCAGCCAATCTCAACCGAAAATGGGCAAATCCATCCTCCTAATCAATGGCCCAAACCTGAACCTCCTGGGTACACGCGAGCCACACGTCTACGGACACACAACACTCTCCGACGTAGAATCAAACAGTCGCGAGGTCGCCGCTAGCCATGGTGCCGTTCTCGAATCTTTCCAGTCGAACCACGAAGGCGCAATTGTGGACCGCATCCAGGCGGCGCGTGGCAAAGTCGACGGTATCATTATCAACCCGGGCGCGTACACGCATACCTCCGTCGCAATCCGGGATGCCTTGCTCAGTATCGATACCCCATTTATTGAGCTCCATGTGAGCAATGTCCATGCGCGCGAGCCCTGGAGACATCACTCGTACTTCAGTGATAAGGCTGCGGGTATTATTGTTGGTCTTGGAGTTTATGGGTATAAGGTTGCTATTGAGCATGTTTGTATTAATTTTGAGGAGAAGAAGGCTAAGGCTGCGCTGTGATTGAGGTAGTGGAGTTCTTTTATGATGGGATATTTTATACCAACTTGAGCCGGTTTGAAGAGTGGGAATTATAGCCATTTACAATCCTTCCTCGGCCATCTGGGAGACTATGTATTTTTCTTAAGAGAATAGATATTTTGCAAAAGAAAATCCCCGAATTTCTATACTACATGTAGTAATTTACATTTTTCATAGAAGGTATCTTGGATGACTAGTTTTCTGGCCTGGAGTAGGCCTGTGTATTGCAAAATGCCATGCATTAGCACATACGCATGAGAAATCGGAACTCCGATTGAATATTTGAGGCATGAGCTAGATGCATAGCTCTTGTCCCAAGAGACCCAGATGAATAGTGGATCGAGAGGGCAACAAGGGCCGACCAGCGGCAGCATAGTGTTCCCACGGTATGCAGATCGTCGGAATGGAGTGATGTTACAGAACATCATCGCTTGGGGTTTCCCGACATGCTAACAGGCTGTGACTCTCGCCGCATATCAGACGGAGTGTCATTATTGGGTAGCTGCTGAGTCTGTGCCAGCAAGAAAGGCTCGATCTGACCGGAGAATGAGTAGAGCTCAGGAATACCCACATCGGAGACAAAACCTAGGTTCTGCATGAACTCTGGTTGGTGGTCGGCTCTATAGGGGATCGAAGTCAGTCACTATGCAAAGGAAATTGGAGATGAATGCTAACTTTTCCGCGCCATCTAAGGACGCTAGCTCATCAAATAACGCATCGAGGTCAGGAGCAATCCGCTGGCTCCGCGAGCGTGCATATCCATCCATGTCGACAAACGTGCCGCCCATACTGAGCGATTGATCGTGATATGCTGTTGTATGGTATTGTGTGGCTTGATGGTATGATGGCGAAAGCTCGGTGAGCATCCCAGTACTACTATTATGGGATTTGCTAGGTGCTGATGTAGGATGAGTAAGCACATTATTAAGAGAACCATCCAAGTGGCCCTGTCGTGGAGGAAATTCAGAGGCGCCCCCGATAGAGTTTATGGATGAGGGTGTGCGGAGAAGAGATACATCTTCGATGTGTTGTGTGGCTCTGAGCCATGGCGTGGAGAGGAGTGAGGTTTCAAGGGCAGCCTCAGCATGTGTGTTATTTTGGGGCGGGTGTGTCGCATGTGTGATATGAAGATGTGGAGGTGTGCCTATTGAGAGAGATGACGGGATCGTCATGTCTCGGTTGGTAGAGGTATTCATGTGCCGCGACGCCGCAGAAGAGATACCCAAGACTTGAGATCTTTGTGGCACATTTCGACTCAGCGTTTGTCGGTCTGGCATAGTCCACAGCGTAGAAAGCTGGGAGGAAAGATTGTGGATGGTGTTTCGTAATCCCATATCAAAATTTGATGGGAGGTCCTTGGAAATGGATTGAGGAAGGCCAAATCGAAGCATCAAACCGAAGGTTGGTACGGTGGCTGAAAAGCTATATGTCTCCATGTAGGCTTGAAGCAAATGCAGAAGCCGTTTCGAGCTTTCTGTAGCACGGATTTTGTGAGGCGGTTCAGGTACGTTTTGGTCATATTCACGAATGGCAATTTGAGAGCTGAGAACGACGACAATACTTGCATATGTCATCTCTAACCCAAAAATATGTGGGGAAGCTAGTCTCGAAGGACGACTTTGTAGATCGACACGATAGCTCTTTGGTAATTCTGTTACCCAGCGCTCTAATTGCAACTCCAGTTGCTCCAGGTGTGATCGAGATATCGTTGGGTCGTGCTTGCAACAGCATAGGTCATTCAAAATGGATACAAGGCTGACAAGGCGGTTGAAAGTGCTCAACGCGTGAAGGGGACCTCGCTGCATAGACGCCCGTGAGGATTGGGCGGGCCGTAGCCCAGTTTGATCTTCCCAAGGATGCCATTCCTCCAGACCATCCTCATTGATAGAGCCTATACTGGCTAGGTCTGCCTTTCGAAGCGATGGGAATTGTGAAATTGATTCCGCAATTAGGGTCTCCAGAACAAAGCAACCCAAAAACACATGTTTTGCTCGACCAAGCTGTTTTTCTTGATCGGGGGTTCTCGACGATGCTGAGTATGAGGGTTGATTGAGACCTAGTATATGCGCAACCCGAACTGCCTGACCAACTAGCATCCAAGAATCAGCCCATTCTTGTTGTCCGAATTTGACCAGAGCCAGGATCAGTAGTGCCTGCACGTGTCCGATTTGGTGCGGGCCACTCTCAGGCGGAATCAATTCCCGGGCAGTAACATACATTTCTGATGAGGTTATCTGATCCCTAGTCTGCTCTTCGACTTGGCTGGAGGCTGAAATAGATGCATACTGTAGCGAGGCGAGAGTGAGGACAGCCCACAAGGCCGCGTGCTCCCCGGACCCGGAGGAAAGGGCAGATACATCTACATCGCCTTCGTTATATTGAAATGCGGTGCGAAGTACGTCATGCTTTTCGAGTATGGGGAACCAGCACTGCGTGTAGGAAAAATACACATCGAAAAGGGGCCACGCATTACCGGGTAGTTGTAGAGGCGGTTTCATGGAGAGCGATTGAGGATTGTCGGGATTCGAAGGAAAATTGACAGACGAGGGAAGGTCATCTGATGTGGTTGTCTGAATGCCGCAGTCTGTAGTAGGGTGTGGTCGGGTACCTCTCCTAGGAGAGATGCCCACTGTTGTTTGAGTCGGGGATACTCTTGGTAACGGCGTCTCGCGAGCTTCTATGCCATCGGGGATTTGCCACTCCTGTGCTTCAGCAGAAGAAAGAATCCTTTCCACGTCTAGAGGTGTATCACCCTCGCCATACGCAAGGAGGTTTCGTTCCCTTTCCTCCTCCGGTTGCTCTAGTATTACTAGAATCCGTTCAATGTCTTTGAGTACTGTGCTGTTTTTGAAGGAAGCCAGCAACGCATCAGACCCCTCTGTTTCTTTGCCCATCGTGGCCAAGTGATGCGGAAGATTGATTGATCGCATCAAAGCTCGCATGACATCTTCGCTGCCTTGGATCCTCTGAAATACCAGCCCCCAAAGCAACTCCAGCGATCGAATGTAGCCTGTGGGCAGGCCTCGCTTCTTCGGGTTGACCTTATAGGTACAGGGTCGACAGAGCGATGCACAAGTCGAACACACTGGCTGTAATCCGTCGCATTTGTCCTTCTTCAACCGGCAACTATCGCAAGCCCGCGAAACTCGTTGACGCTTAGGTTCCCCTGTAGCCTTCCCATCATCTTCTAGCTCAGTCAATCGTCGTTTGGTATTCGTGCTAGCGCCGGTGGCTTGCCGCTGTTCGGCGCTCATGGTGATTGATTTCAAGAGCCACTTAGAGGGTTCGGGCGCATGTTCCCGCAAAGCGATGTGCAATGAATATTTCGTCAACGGGCGACTGACTGCACGGACGAGCCGGCGACTACGCCATGGAAATGAGCCCCACTAGAGGTAGATTAGGGCGAGTGCGAAGAATTTTGGGACCGAAGCGTGATATTGAGGGTAGGTGCAGCACACGGTAAAGTGCTTGCCAACTAGATGTTTCCGGGGAACGTGTTAGCGGTGAGCCATTCACAGTCCTGCAAAGGTAATCGCGTACAGGATGAGCCTTAGGTCATGGGTATGAAGCTCTTGAATAAGTTAGCGGTGCAATCGGGACTAAGCCACAGCGATTTCGATAATTTCCCCGGGCCGTTCTGCACGTTCGTACCTAAGCGCATGTCCCCGCGGGGAAAGAGGAAAACCGAAAGTCCCCGGGTGAGTGCTCGTCCGCCTTATGTAATGCCAACGTTTGGCCCCGGACGCGCCTTTTGACGAATATTCTTTGTGCTCCCCGCAAAACTTAGGAAATCCTGCTTACCATATCAGTTCTCTCCGCATCTACTACCGTATAAACGTTTATCTCAATAAACACCGCATGTCCTCCCTGTCACCATTGCGTGTGTGGTAATGGGCTCTCGACTCCCCTCCTGATCTCGTCCCACACTTCATGCGCCATGTCCATGTTAGTACGCCCACCGAAACGAAAGCTGCATGACGTCGAGCCTTCTTCCACTATCCACCTTTCAACCAGACATCCTTCTCGTCGATCGAGCGAACACAGAGAAGCATCCGGAGATTCGCACCCACAGCTGCTAGAATCACACCCGAAGCGCGGATCCCCGACACTAATTGAACATGGCTATCTTCAAACTCCACGCACATTCGGCCGGACAGCATCTATCGTATTGATCGGGATCCGTGGCACGGGAAAGTCAAGTCTGGCGGTCATCCTCGCGGCGACATCCGGACGACGATTGATCGATGCAGACCGCTACTTTCACCAGAGTGTTGGATGTTCCCGTGCTGTGTTCAGGAAGGAAAATGATGGATCCGTGTATCGGCAACAAGAGGCCCGGGTCTTTGAGTCGATGTTGGCAGAAAACCAAGAGGGATGCGTGATTGCGTGTGGAGCTGGATCAATGGAAAGCAACGGCCAAAAACTTCTGAGGGAATTTGCGCAGACACATCCGGTTATCCACGTTATTCGAGATCCAGAGAGCATACAGTCGTATCTTAAAGCGTGGGATACGCAAAAGGTACGACATTTCCTAGAATTGTCAGGTCCGATATATCGAGGGTGCTCCAATTTCGAGTTTTTCAACCTGTCAGAGCTCAGAAATGATGGTCTGGGCAAGGGCAGCGACAATTCGTCGCTGACGGACCGGATAGAACCTAGGTCACATACCCCGGTTCCTTTTTTAACGCTGAAACGAGTTCAGCGGGATTTTCTCCGCTTCGTTGCGTTCATAACGGGTGATATTGCCGAACTTAACAGCCAACATGCATCCTTTCCCCTGTCGCTGTTGCCTGTTGAATCTCGGATGTATACATCGGCAGTATCAGTACCATTTTCAAGGGTCTGTGAGAAGGGTATGGATATTGAGCAGCTGGAATTCACTGCCGATGCCTTCGAACTAGCAGTCGACGTAACAGACTCTTCTGGCCAGCCAGGTCTCAGCTCAAGTCTTGCGGACAGTATCAGTCAAGCGGTAGCAGTCATTCGACGCAACATAATTGTGCCTTTGATCTACCATGTGGAAAGCTATACTACCTCCACGGGATCTTTGTCTCCTAGTCAAGTTCCAGTGAGATGCACAGATGAAACTTACTTTAGCCTCGTCCGCCATGGCTTGCGTCTCTCCACCGGTTTCCTCACAGTAGACCTCACCCGTGATGACGCTATTATTTCCCAGATTATTTCTGCAAGTGGGCGAACCAGGATCATTGGCCACTTTGAAGCCTTCCATCCTCTGCCGGGGGGCTGGGATGGCGATGAATATATCAAGGTTTATGAACGGGCCAAAAGCCTAGGATGCGATATAGTCCGAATGTGCCAACCAGCCCAGACACCCGAAGACAATCTCGCGGTGCAAAGATTCCGCCATCGCATCCAAAGCCTGCCCGTTGCCGACCTTCCTCTCATCGCCTATAACACCGGGCCTCTAGGCCGCATGTCTCGCTGCTTCAATCCTATCCTATCCCCAGTCACACATCCGTCACTAATACCGGAATATCCAGCTCATTTACCATCGTGCATCACAGCCCGCGAAGCACAGATGGCACTTTACAGCTCATTCGCCCTGGATCCGATGCAATTCTTTGTCTTTGGCGCCAATACAACGTACAGTATGTCGCCCGCCATGCACAACACTGCTTTCAAAATATGCGGTTTGCCGCACAATTACTCCATTCATCAATCACCTACTCTACGAGGGTTAAATGACCTTGTGGAAAATCAATACTTCGGTGGATCAAGTGTCAGTCTCCCGTACAAGACAGAGTGTATTCCTCTGCTTCATTCAATGTCCACGCATGCCCGAGCCATTGGTGCCGTCAATACGCTCATTCCAATCCGCAATCTCGATGACCTGGATGATACCCGTCTTCAGGAATCTTCAATATTTCTCCAAAAGAGCCGTGCCGGCCCTGTCAAGGGCCTTCATGGTGACAATACCGATTGGATTGGAATCTGCAATTGTATTCGCCGGGGTCTGTCCCCGGCAAACGCCGTACGTTCATCATCAACAGGTCTTGTCATCGGATCTGGTGGAATGGCCCGCGCTGCAATTTACTCCATGATCCATCTTGGTGTGCAAAATGTCTTCATCTACAATCGTACACTTTCCAATGCAGAGAGACTGGCCCACCACTACAACCGCCAGGATCTCCACTCAAAAGAGGCTAGAGGGCCTGGGCGTCCCACAGTTCGCATTATTGCTTCATTATCCGACCCATGGCCTGCAGACTTCAAACAGCCGACGATTGTTGTCTCTGGAATCCCGGCTCATAGCATTGGAGGCGAGCCAGCACCCAACTTCCAGATTCCAGCACAATGGCTCGAGAGCCCGACAGGTGGCGTTGTTGTTGATGTAAGTTTGCATTATATCTTATACCAGCCTCAAAATATGACCTTCTATTCCTAACCAACATCTTTAGCTGGCATACAAGCCCCTCAATACCCCTCTCATGAAACAAACACGGGCTCTATCCCACAGGGGCTGGGTAGCCCTGGATGGTCTAGATGTTCTGCCAGAGCAAGGTTTCGCTCAGTTCGAACTATTCACCGGCCGCCGCGCTCCACGGCGCGTTATGCGGAGCATTGTACTTCAAGAGTACAAAGACGATGAAGGAAATAATGACCACCAAGCGATACAAGACAGGTTACAGCAAATGGACGGACAGCCGACTTGAATATCGCCAGCTGCTCTCACAAATGACGATCAAGTGTAACAGGTGGTAACACTGTTTAATCCGTGCCACGATGAATTCATATTACAATGAAGCTATTCAGACAGTCCTGTCGTATCTGATATACCTTATCAGAAGATCGCAGACATATGAACTTCGTTGACATGCTTCTGGTTCAGTTAATGTCGTGTTCCGGGGCATACAATACCCAACGTTGTCCAGCTTTTACCTCTGTTCTGACCATGTGACACCATAAGTGTCGCATAAATGACCGAGGTCATGTAGAGTACATGTAGTCCGAAATAATACAATGATACCATACGCATTTATGATATATGAAAAGACAACAAATTGGCTTCCTTCATCCCGCATCCAATCTACAAAGAAAAATAGGACCATCACTCCCACATTGCTACAGTAAGGAGGATCGATTTTCTAAGTATCAGATATTGCCTAGGTGAGTGACAGCCTTGGCGCTATGGCACTCACATATTCCATTCTTATGAATCGTCCTCCCTACCTCGACATCAAGTACAGACTATTCAAGACCCCCAGTACGGTAGATCTGCCAGGTATTCTCTCGGGAGCCAGCCACGTCCGCTTAGGCGTTCCTTGCTCATTTACCGACAAAACTCCCCAGTATGGCGGCTCCCACACAGTGTTCAAAATTGTGTTCGCGGACTCTGTAGAATGAGCTGCTCGAGTTGTTGACGATTCCAATAACTGGAAAAATGAACTAAGAGCAGTGAAAACTTTCCAGTCTTTGAAACAACAATGTACGGCAATAAAAGCACTACTCCTCTTGCCTACGGTGTACCAGTGGGAGAAACCTTTGGCGGGGACCGAGCTTATCTTGAGGCTGCGATCAAAAGCCGAGAGCGTCTACGAGGTTTGCCTCATACGGTGTCGACATTACTGAAAGACTCGGGAGAGAGACTATATTTTCAATCAGCCTTTCATTTTCAAGGGATACATGAAAGGGTTGTGAGGGTCTATTGCCCTTGGACCGAGAAGCATATTACAGCTGCAAGGTCTGAACTTGACACGGTTCCTGATCTATATCCTGAGTTACGAGAAACGGATGCTGCACAGGGAATCAAGAGATGGCTAGATAGGGAACTACAAAGGGTGGAATAGTCATGTGGTTCCTATTCTCATATAACCTAGCAAGCTATCATTCAACTTGGTCGACAGGTAGACTGGGATATCACTTTAAAGATGATAGAGGCAAGCCTACTGAGCATCATTTCATCCATGTCATTGTTGGAATTGGGTATATAGTCATCAAAGCCAGACAATCAAGGTTGGCTATATCCATGCAGATATTCTGATTGGTTGTAGATACATTAGCAATAAGCCAACCTGGGCAACAGTATGTAGAACTGGAAATTTCTCTATTGGAGGTATACTGGAGTGATATAAAATCTATAACTTCTATGATATAAAGTGGGGAATCATCTCGATAAGCAACGTCGGCTAGTGGCGGTTGTTTTAACCTCCATTTTTCACCGGATGACTCAAGGAGCTAAACCCTTACCCTTCAGCCTTGTGTTTCCTTACATTAACACATCTTGATACTCTCGTATCCACACATACCTGTTATCCGTTTCACAATGGCCGTTGGACCCCTCTCCCAAGATGAACTAGATGAGATATACGCTTTCGCGGTAGACCTGGGCCGCAAGGCAGGCAAGATGCTCATGGATCGTGTCGAGCAGCGTATCTCAGGCGCAAATGGTTCCTCCAATGCATTTGAAGAGAAAGAAAATGCAGTAGACATTGTTACGCAGACTGACGAAGGTAAGGCGGAACACCTGATAAGCCATATCAGACAACATCGCTCACAATTTTACTCGGCAGATGTTGAAGTATTCATCCGGAGTGCCCTGGAGTCCAGATACCCATCTCATAAGTAAGTCTTCCTGTTGCAGTTCAGTGGCGAAGAAATCTAACAGACCCCCAGATTCCTCGGCGAGGAGGCATATGCCAAGGGCCAGTCTCGCGACTACCTCATTGACGAGCACCCAACATGGTGTATCGACCCATTAGATGGTAAATAATTACCTTCAGCACTATGGCTATTATGTGTTGAAATCGATACTAATACCGCCCCAGGAACCGTAAACTACACACATATCTTCCCCATGTTCTGTGTCTCAATTGGCTTCATCGTGCAGCACAAGCCAGTAATTGGTGTAGTATATGCCCCCTTCACAGATCAGCTCTGGTCCTCCTGCAGCGGGCGTGGAGCTTGGTTAAATGAGACTCGCCGACTTCCGCTTATCCACAACCCAACCCCGCCAATGCCCGCAAACGCGCCTTCACAGTGTATCTTTTCTTGCGAGTGGGGTAAGGATCGTCGCGATATTCCTGAGGGGAATATGCATCGCAAGATTGAGAGTTTTGTCAACATGGCTGCGGAGGTGGGCGGTCGGAATGGGAGAGGTGGTATGGTGCATGGTATGCGCAGTTTGGGTAGTGCGACGCTTGATCTTGCGTATGTTGCGATGGGTTCTTTCGATATTTGGTGGGAGGGAGGTTGTTGGGAGTGGTGAGTTTTGGCTTTTTGTTGGATCTTTTCTATCCCTTGCGGAGTCAGTTAGGTATGCTGGTACTGACTATCATAGGGACATCGCTGCTGGTGCGGCTATTCTTTTGGAGGCTGGTGGACTTATGACTACTGCTAACCCACCAGAGGATGTGGACACGGCGCCAATTGAGGATGTCCGACTCGGCAGCAGATTGTATTTGGCTATTAGGTGGGTTTGCGAATTTCTTCCTGTGTGTTGGATCTTCCTAATTAACATTCCAGACCCGCTGGTCCATCTCCCACTGAGACAGGCCGTGAAACACAAGAGCGGACAGTACGAGAAGTCTGGCGTCGAGTCCGTAACCTGGAATACTCGCGGCCTGGGGCATGAATGGCTCACAGCGCCTTGATCTTGTTTTACTGTGTACAGATGTTTGGTCGGATGTAAATATATCTCATATTGATTTTGGTAGATCTAAAGCAGGATATATTTCACAATCAAAGATGCTATTCACATATAGACAATGGAACTAGCTACTAGTGCGCTCTATGCAATGATTAATAGAAAATCGAGACATGATCGTAAAGAAGGAATCATAGGCTAGACTTCGCAGATGCCCGTTCCGCAATGGTCTTAGCAACAAGATCCTTAACCTGCTGCACAAGGCCAGGGGTACCGATGACATCCTTTCCAGTCCAAAGACGGGCCTGCTCAAGACCTTGCCAGATCAGAGCCTCAGAGCCAAGGATGACCTTCCACCCACCCGCAGAAGCCAGGTGAGCGATCTCAGTCCAGGGGGTGGGGTGGTAGCACATCTCCAGAATAACACCCTGCTGCTTCTCGGCATCGGCAGCGGTACCCAAGAAAGCCTGTATGATCGCGCGAGCGCGCAGCTCCTCGGGAGACTTCGGGGGGTAGTTAGGGATACCGGAGACGATAGCCGCGGGCGACTCGAGACGGGCAGCCTCAGCTGGATCGGTGACTGGGATAAGAGGAGCCTGCGCATTGGGGTCGGGGTTTCGGCGGCGGTCTTCCTCGAGGATGGCGGCGACTTCGGCGGCGTCGCGGTTAACAATGTAGATGCGACTGGAGCCGAGCCAGCGACGCATAACGTAGATTGCAGTGCGGGCAGTGCCACCGCCACCGATTATGAGCGCGGGCCGGCCACGGAAACGTGATGGGTCAGGTGCGTTTTGTATGAGAGCTTCCCGGATGCCGTCACAGTCGGTGTTGGTGCCCACGTACTGGCGCTGACCGGTTGTTGGGTCGTCGCGTAGGAAGATGGTGTTGCAGGCGCCGGCTTGACGGGCGTGTTCGGTGAGATCGTCGAGATATGGCATTATTGCGACCTTGTGAGGCATCGTCACTGACGAGCCGACAAACTTGGGATTGGACTTGATTGATGCCAGATATTTTTCAATCGGTGGCGACCGTGTGTAGGGGGGAGGGTATGTATCCGATGAACCAGTAACGCTGGACAGGGGAATTTGGGTCCAATTGAGGCCGAGCGCATTGTAGACGGTCTGGTGCAGGGGTGGGGAGAGAGAGTTCAGAAGGGGGTGGCCGTACAGATAGGCGACGCCATCCCGGTTGGAGGGGATGGAGATGGGCTCTTCCGGAGGCGTTTGGTTGATTTCTGTGACGGACATGATGAATCGTGTATATGTGTTTGCTTGCCTATGCAGATCTCAGATGGGGAGCGGCTACAATGTTATAAGATGAAATTAGAAGGGAAAATACTTAGCTCGCTATACGTGCGATCTATGGATATTTGCTCTGCCGGGTGGGGCTTTCCATCTCTAGCGTAGCTGTCGCCGCTTTTATGAGTTTGGATGGGGAAAGATTGAACCGACCTTGGGAAGCATCTATTAATGGAAGCATCCTCTCTTTTTACATTTATATCTCTGTTCCTCTCTCTTATACGCAATGAAGGTTTATTTTTCAATTGTAATAAGGCGAAGCGTAATTTCGTGTGAATTGGTTCCGAAGTTGTTTTACAAAGACAATTAGAGAACGAATAACCTCAATTGCTCGACCATCCGGGCTGAAGCAGTAGGATTAAGGAACTTGCCTCTCGTCGTCTATGCACACCATACTACGTACCATGTTCAGTTAAATCGATTGCGCAACCGTTAGCCCTGTGTTTTAGCAGCTGTCCGCATGTTGGCCGCTAGATTAAGCCGTCGCTCACATCATTGCTTTTTGTAGAATCATGAGGAAGCCTCGCACGTCATGTCTCATTCGCATTATCACCAATGGCCGTACCTAGCCCCTAGAAGATGATAGACCTGAATTGCCCAACAACACTGACACAAACGCTGCGGAAGCAACTACTGCTACTTCTGTTCCCTATTTCTCTTCTAAATAACCTCAACATCATTGTTTATCATTTTTATGATCTCATCTACATTGTGACCCAACCATTAGTACTGGGTTTGATAAGTCAGTTAACACCCCTGGCTCTCTAGTGTGTTACCAGCAGGCTGGCTGGGAGACTATGGGCTGCACATGTGGGCATTAGCTAGGCTTCGTGACAAGTTGTATGGGAATTGGAGTCAGGAAGTAATGAAAGAGTCTCTCTCCTTTAATGGCAGAGTTTTGCATGTGCAAGATCGTATATATATACGAATATATATGTGTGTGTGTGTGATCAGCGCTGTATACATATCCAAAGGTTTGCTTCAAATATCAGCTGCAGTATAGATTATACCAACAAGATTGATTGTAATCAAAAGTGACCAAAACTTTCAATCTCAACAAATAGGTTTACGATACTGATAAACTGGAAAATACTAGTCGTAATTCTGGTAACGCCACTAGGTTGGCATTGAAATTATATAAGAACCCGACCCCTCCCCTGCTTGAACCCTGCATGATCTAAACCCATTCTCAAAATTTCTTATCCCCAACACAATGGCAGATACTTTAGAGGAGTTGGTACTCCTAGAGCCACTATGGGACAAGGCCATCCAGTCGCCTTCATCCGTCACGTTAGATGAAAAACACCGGATATTGGGATGGCCCACCAGGGCAATAATGCAGGCCAACGCCCAAAAGCACTTGAATTTGTCAGTGGACGATCTTTTCCACAAAGCAGCCACAAATCCACATTCCCTGACCTACCCCGAGTGTCTTCTTATGGATAATGACTTTCATATTTTGAGCTTGTCAGATCAATTCATGTTTAACAAGGATCGACTGCGATTGAGCGTCGAGCGGCCGGATCTCACGGAGAAAATGAATCAGGCGCGCGCTATTGTTTTCTCTCCCATAGAGGCAAAAGCATTCGCTAACTTAAGAGATGACAATATCTTTTTCGCAAAAAGTACGGCATATCATAAGGCTCTAGAGGAGAATCGGAAGCCTCTCACAATGCCTCGGGAGTGGGTGAAGAATGTCCTCGATCAGGAAGGAGAGATGAAAACCTTCGGTTTTGTGTTCTACCACCCTAAGTACCAGGAGAAAGGTCTATGGGAAAAGTTCCGGGAGAAATTTGACGAGATCCTCAAGGACCCTATGTTCTCGGCGGACGGATCTGATCTCATCGAAGAGTTCAAAGCGGCGGAATTCGTTGAGTTTGAGAGTCCAAGCCCGGATAACTTGGATATTCTTAGAGAGTGAGTTTGACTTGTCAACACCGACTTATCAGCGGCATAATAATAATGAAATAGGAAATTCCGTGACCTTCGGGCAAGGAATGACTTGAAATCAGGAGACTTGTCTAATGTTTTTTTTTCTTGCCTCAAACGAAGCCTGCGAATCGTACCTGATGGGACGTCAAAAAAGCTATCTTTGGGCAGTCGATCCTGATTGGCCTCAAACTGGCGTTGACGAAGATGGCTACGATGGACGTGTCAAAATCAGCGCTTCCCAAATCTTCTATCGGTTTTACCAATTCATGTCAACAAGAGAGTTTACATTGAAAGAGATCTGGCACGATTTTCACCAGGTGAATGAGACACAAACCATTCTACCCGAGACACTTGTTGCCTGGCAACTCACAAATCTTAATAAGCCTGCTCGTGTTTGGCCTATTTTATGAATCACTCGCTGGTCGTACTAGTTTCTCTGAGGATCGTGGTTTCTATGTGCTGTGGAAAGCAGACTATATACCCCACTAAGTGTACATATTAAGTTCCTCGATAGATTCTCTTCTAACGCTGGTTCTATGACAAATTGATAGAAGGAGAAGCATGTCTAGGAGTGACAAGTAGGATTTGTGAGCTAAGATCGGTCTTTGATTCCACGATTTAAGCTTTTAAATTACATGATTGTTATGAGTACATCTAATATATTCCTTTAGAATATATTGATTGGACTTTCAAGTTGACCTCAACGCATATTTAAATTGCTTTTTAACTAAAGCTACCTTTCCTTCAATCATCCGAGAATGGAACCTAGTCAAATTCTCTACCCGAAAGTTCCCAGCATCGTCTCTAAAATCAACTTATGATTTTAAAATGAATACAAACACCGACGTATCAAAATCGACAACACTTTCGAGCTCCTCCCGGAGATTACGAATCAGCTGAAGAATACTGAAAGCAGCAATCCGTGTTGCTTGATTTGGAGCTGCATTATAAACCTGCTGCCACAAGGTTTCCAATTCGAGAAGACGGCCATTGATCCATGGTCGCACCCATTGGGTCATCCGTTCCATGAAGTTAACCATGTAGGCTCTACATAGTACAGGGGCACTGAAATCGGTGCCCGGGTGAACCAGATTGACTGTGGCTTGGAAAGTCTGCCACTCAGTATTCGCGGCACGGAATGTGCGAACCAGGTGGCGAGTCACATCCGGGCTGTTCAGGTAACTGAACACAGAAATAACCTATCAATTTGGCATAACAGTTAGCCAAAGACACTTATAAGAAGTGATCGAAGTTGCAGAAAGACCTACCATCCTCAGTTCATCCAACGCAGCCGTGGCACTGGTGATATCTGGTGCATTCATGTTTTGCCAGGGGGCATCGCCAATCGGTTGCTTGCCGCTAAAGATCTATACACAAGATCGTTAGTTCACTATTGACCACAGACTGTCGTAAGTTGACTGACCCTTCCTTTCACAGAGTTCAAACGTGTTTCTGCATTTAAAAGGGCGGTTGGATTTGCAGTCGAGCCTAACGTCTTAAAAATACGGTCAATTGGTTTACCTGTAGCGGATGTAAACCCAGGGGCCCACTGGGAGTAGTCTTGACCGAGTAACTCTGCTATATGCCATGGCATGAGTTTGTTCGTGGTCTTAAACTCCCCCAATCCCTGAACGGCTGGTAAAATTCCAGTGACCATGAAAATCAATTGAGCGGGGGATTAATTGAAGCTCAAGAACATGTTCGGCTATAGCTCAAAATTTTTATTAGCGATGCACGGGGGAAGAACATGTTCTAATCAGAGTTGAAATATTTACTAACCAAGATCCAGATGTTATTGGGGGCATTAGGGTCAGTAATGGTATCGGTACAGACAGCCGCATTGGCGAGAGCAAACCGAACAGTTAACGCAGTTACGCGCTCTAACTTATCACCATTGCCGCTATTGGCGTAGGGCTGGGAGCTGATGATCATGATCCGTCGCAGGCCTGTGACGGGATCAATTCCACAGCCGAGAGTAAAGGGACGCGAGGCGCTATCCCGCTTCTCTACAGGAGAGCTACTCTTTCGCCTGAAGTCACATAACCTGACAACCTGACGACCCCCCTATTCGGCTTTACCTCTTACATTGCCTCTGGTTTTGTGCATTCCTCGGCGGTACACTGGAAGTGATTGATTGTGATGGCCAGTGCATCATGTGGTCTGTCCACAATCACGGCTGTACGGGCTATTCTGTGCATTTCGAGCTAATCGACGGAAGTGACTGTTCATGTAAGTAAAGAATGACAAGTAAGACTCGACACGATACATAGAGCACGATATTAACTCTTGCCTTTCTTGTTTAAGACTTGAGCGAAGCCGAAGATGGCATACGCGAGAAAAACAATGTCTTAATGTTGATGCTCATCGCACATAGCACGGCGAGCCAGTTGCACGGATTACGGCGAATAAAGCCGGTCTTCTCACGTTCTGCAATAAAGACGGAGCTAAGACCGCATGTGCAAAGGGGCGCATATCCATTACATGACAGCCTCATGGTTGGTAGCAGTGATGCTACTTCTAACTTCGCATTTCCAACTGCCTGTTATCTGTCTTCTACATCACCCGTTTCTAGCTCATGACCTTCACCTAGGCTAGATTCTTTGGAACCTACCTCCAGCGAGGAGGCTACTTCTCCATCTGATTCTGCCAAGGACTCTAGATCTTTGTCCACTTTAAGATCTTTCTCAAGCTCACTGTCCGGTGAATCCCCCACTTCCAACTTCATCGGGCTTACTAAAGTAGACGAGCTTTTATGGTTATCTTATAAGCTATGAGCCGCCAAGCGGAGAAATATTTGCTCTTCCACTAATTTACTTCTCTTGACTAATGCCATCGTGTATGTTGTTAGATGAAAGATTATATATCATAGATTAGTTTACTCAACATAATTCATGACATGGTCGTTGGGTCAGTGGCAAATTCAATGCTTGATTGTTGACTCTGGAGAACATCTACCGGGCTGAATGATTTCCCACTGCAACCTTGGAACTACCAACACCTCAAAGGGAAATCCCCATGGCACGCAGAAAACTATCGAGGAACAAATGAGATGACTACAGGTAACTCAAATTATGATTGCAGAACAGACTACGAAGCAATTCCCATACAGATAGTCCCCAACGGATACTTCGCAGTGGCCGTGTCTCTCCATTAGCTTCCGGGAAAGGCTTTTCCCCGCCACCCATATTCGGCAAATCGGTAATTGGCCATGTTTTCCTTCCCCCTGTTCTTTGGATCCATTTCGGTTTTCCAATCAGATCAATTACCCTTCGCTAGTTCACATTCAATCGTCCACTGCATTCCCCCCGGGGTACCCCAGAGAGATCTAACATGCACGCTGTGGCGGGTTACTGGAAACCCGCCGGGGAAGTCCCCACTCTATTGGATTCCCCACAATCTAACGTCCTAAGCGAATTATCTTAACTTGTAGTTTTTTTTGGTTATAGCCGAACAAAGTTTGCATGTCTTTCTGAGTCACTTTCTTCTTGGGAGCAAGCCATATTTGGAGGTGCCAAGAGGCGATCAAAGTTATCCTCGCACTATTCGCGCGCATACTCGAAATAACTTAGAGTATTCGTTTTGCCGCGCCTTGGCTTGATTTGCTTAAGCAAGAGATTTTGACAACCTGCGCTATACTTTTCTCCGCCTTAGCATCTCCACGATTTCTTCCCCCTTTTCCCAACCCCAGATTCTCTCCCCTCTTTCTCCAAGGGCAAATCGGCAGTCCGGGGCTGAGTCTATTTAGATCTCGTCTCCCTCACTAGTCTGTTCTTAAAACCTGAGGACTTTGCTTTTGGTTTCCTCTTCCCTTTTTTTGCTTGCATCTACACCTATATATTATACACACCCTCAGACGTGGTGACGTCCACCTTGGGACGTACACGTTACTGCCTCACTGCATATAGCATTGGGTGTCAAGATCATTTGGTCACTGGTGCTCTTGCAATTCTTCTTCAGTTCTTCTATATTGAACCGCCACCATGTCGATCCTGAAGCTAGTCGAGGACCGGCCGACGCCTAGTGTGGTCTACAACTGGAGAATCTATCTCCTAGCAGCAGTGGCTTCATGCACATCCTGTATGATCGGCTATGACAGTGCTTTCATCGGCACTACGCTCTCTCTCGACTCCTTTAAAAGCGAGTTCCACTTCGGCGACATGTCTGATACCACCAGGAACCTGATCAGTGCCAATATCGTCTCCTGCTACCAAGCTGGCGCTTTTTTCGGTGCTTTCTTCGCATATCCAATTGGCCATTTCTGGGGTCGTAGGATTGGCCTATTGGCCGCTGGCATGGTTTTCACTCTCGGTGCTGGGATCATGCTTGGTGCCAATGGTGATCGAGGGCTGGGTCTCCTTTACGGCGGCCGAGTTCTCGCTGGTCTTGGTGTCGGAGCAGGCTCTAACATCACCCCAATCTATATCTCCGAATTATCTCCCCCAGCCATTCGCGGTAGATTGGTTGGTGTTTACGAGCTAGGCTGGCAAATTGGCGGTCTTGTTGGATTCTGGATCAACGTGAGTTTTCCTCTTTGTTTGGGCCGACTTGTCTTCTGGATGTTAACATAATATCTATAGTTCGGTGTCGACGAGACCATGGAACCTAGCCATAAGCAATGGCTTATTCCCTTTGCTGTTCAGTTGATTCCTTCCGGTCTCTTGCTGATTGGTGGCTACTTCATCCGGGAGTCGCCTCGTTGGCTCTTCGGACGCGGTCGCCGCGAGGACGCCATCAAGAATCTTTGCTGGATTCGCCAATTGCCCGAGGATGATATCTACATGATCGAAGAGATTGGTGCCATTGACCAGGCCCTGGAGGAACAGCGCCGTAGCATTGGAATTGGTTTCTGGAAACCTTTCAAGGCGGCCGGTACCAACAAAAAGGTCATGTGGCGTCTATTCCTCGGAAGCGCGCTGTTCTTCTGGCAGAATGGATCTGGCATTAATGCCATCAACTATTACAGCCCAACTGTCTTCAAATCTGTAAGTCGAATCTTATCTTGATCCGGCCTTGAATGGCTAATACTAACAATGCGTCTAGATTGGTATCAAAGGTACCAACACCAGTCTGTTTACCACTGGAATCTTCGGTGTCGTAAAGACTGTAGTGACTTTCATTTGGCTACTTTGGCTAATTGATCACGTTGGTCGCCGTAACCTGCTGTTGATTGGTGCAGCAGGTGGTTCAGTCTGTTTGTGGGTTGTCGGTGCGTACATCAAGGTTGCCAAGCCCGAAGACAGCACAAGCGACAGCTTGAGCGGCGGCGGTATTGCAGCTATGTTTTTCTTCTACCTATGGACGGTCTTCTATACCCCAACCTGGAACGGTACCCCATGGGTGCTTAACTCGGTAAGTATCCTTAGGTATTAAAACCCCCAGACATGGAACTTTGCTAACAGCATCTGTAGGAAATGTTCGACCCTAACATGCGTTCCCTGGCACAGGCCTGTGCCGCCGCCTCCAACTGGCTCTGGAACTTCCTCGTCTCGCGCTTCACCCCGCAGATGTTCACAGCCATGGGATACGGTGTATACTTCTTCTTCGCATCGATGATGATAATTTCCATCGTCTTCGTGTACTTCCTCGTTCCCGAAACCAAGGGTATTCCTCTTGAGAGTATGGACCAGCTATTCGACATCAAACCTGTGCGACATGCCCACGGGAAGATGATCGCCCAGCTGCGTGAGAGCGAAGAGCAATTCCGCCAGGACGTCGAGGCTGCTGGTATTAATATCAGTAAGATGCGTCCTGAGCAAGTCGAGGATACTGTGGCTCAGCCAAAGTACGCTTGAACGGTGGTGAATTCTTTCCGTATTGATGTCCATTTGTTGTGATTTGTTTCGTCAAACCAAGCGCCAGTTCCTTTTTAAAATGATTCCGGGTTGCAGATGTTGTGATCTTTGTGACTATAGTTGCTTAGTATAAGTACACTTCGCTGAACGAGTGCAAAGAAGCAAATGACCCAATGAGTATACCCCTTCCGTCCTTTTATCGGCCTTTCTTGTAATTTCAACATATCGTACGTCCACGGGTAGATCAAATGCTTAGCAAATCACTGTGTCTAGTAGAAAAGAACACTATCGGTATAGAGCTAGTTGACCGACTACGCCAACAAATTGATATCAATATCCACAGGCTGACCCGACCGCATAGCCCTCTGAACGGCTTCACAAACAATCAATGCACGTAACCCATCCTCGCCAGTACAGCTAGGAACAGCCTCTCCATTGATAACATCAACAAAATGCGCAAGCTGAAGATCAAAAGGCGCCTTATTATCATCCGGAAGCGGAATCCGCTCAACAGTCAAGGGTAAATTCCAACTTTTCTCAGGGCTAGCATCATAACTCCAGCGGGTCAGGTCCGGCACACTGAGCGAAGCATCCGAGCCAAAAATGCGATAAAAGTCCGAGTCACCCCCAGTCGTGGACTGCGGGATAAGCGGGTTCTCGCCCGTACCAGTCTCGAAGTTATGCGGCGACGGCGTCGCATCGCAGACCAGAAATGTGCCTACTACACCCGATGCAAAGCGCAATGTCAGGGCGGCGCCTTCGTCGGCATTATGTGGTGGACTGGGACGCTGCGGCAGTGTGCGCTCGGCCGTCACTCGCACGATCGGCCCGAAGAAGTGGTGCATGAGGTCGATGTCGTGAACAAGGTTGATGGGGATGACGCCGCCTCCGCGTTCGTGCGATGCGCGCCAGTCTGTTGGAGGCGCGAAGTATGCGTCTGGCTTGAACAAAGTCCACAGACCGTTGATCGCGATGGGGCGGCCGAGGGATCCAGCGTCCAGGACAGCCTTCGTGGCTCGCACGTAAGGGTTGAAGCGGCGGTGGTGGCCAACTAGGAGTTTGAGGTGGGCACGTTCTGGAGCCTGGGCGAACTCTAGTAGGGAGCGGCCTGTCTCTAAGGTATCGCTGACAGGCTTTTCGAGGAGGACGTGAACACCGCCTGCAAGGAGCTCCTTTGCAACTGGGACGTGTGTGTGGTTTGGTGTGCAGACGATTGCTGCATCGGGACGGTGGGGGGATGCAAGTAGTGAGGCCACAGAGGGGTAGTAGTTGGTTTTCAGGCTGGACGCGGTTGCTTCACCAGTCGGCATTGGGTCAACGAGCGCAATTAGTTCTGTTGAGGGGTTTGAGATTACGGATTGGGCGTGACGAGGGCCAATAAGACCTGCGCCGATAATGGCAACTTTGACGGGCATGACGGTGGTGGTTAAGGGTTCAAGGACAAATTTTATGTTTACAACAGAATGGCGTAAGTTGCAGAGCTCAAGAGGAAATTCAACCTGGTGACTTTCGTATGTATGCTTGTTTAGTTACGGAAAGTGTGATGTTGCCCCGGACCCCGGGCAGCATTTGACGATTCGGCGCCGATTCTCCGGTCATGTTTGGACCCATATGGAGAATCTGGCCGGGTACCTCCGGGCATTTTGTCTCCAAGGGCGGGAAAAGCATATTTGATGAGGAAGCCAAATTCCACGATGTGGGTGGGAGGAATAGTGGAGTGGAGTGGTCGTGGAGAGGAAGTGGAACCAGCGGGAAAACAAAAAAAGGGGAAGCGTTTACCCGGACATGTGACCTGCCTCTATCAGCTCTGCCTCGTCATCAGACACGAATCACAGCAGATTAGGGAAAACGTTCAATCATAAGAGGGAACTGTAGGGGATAACGTTTTGTCGCAATTATTTTTTGTATATTCCCTTTTGATGGCCTATAAACCCCCTAATATCGTTGGACATCCAACTTGGAGACATTTCCACTCCCTTAATACCTCTCCATTTGAGATACCTTGAAAACAAACACTGGAAAAAATCCCCTCTGGTTTAATAATAAGGTATATAACAAACGGACACACATTCACATACCTCCAAAATGGCTTTCAACCGCCCCGGCATCGCTTCAATGTCCCTAGGCCGGCCCTGGGTACACGACCTCCCCGGCAAGCTGATGCAAGCTGCTGCCCACGGCTTCGAGGGCATTGAACTCTTCTTCGACGACCTAGACTGCTACGCGCACCGGGTATTTGGCGGTGACCACCACGAAGCCGCACGGTCAACGCGGCGAATGTGCAAGCGCCTGGGTCTGACCATTATCTGTCTTCAACCATTTTCCATGTACGAGGGCCTCATCGACCGCGCCGAGTCAGACCGGCTGATCAATGAGAAGCTTCCTAAATGGTTCACCCTGGCGCGGGCGCTGGGCACAGACATGATCCAGGTTCCGTCAAATTTCCTAGGACCAGACCCAAAGACCGGTGCAGCTCGCACCACTGGCGATCGCACTGTCATTGTCCGTGATCTCCAGCGCCTGGCTGACTTGGGCGCTGGTGCTGGGTTCCGATTTGTTTACGAGGCTCTCTGCTGGGGTGATCACATTGATACCTGGGAGGCCTCGTGGGAAGTTGTTCGCGATGTCGATCGTCGCAACTTTGGTCTCTGTCTTGACTCCTTCAATATCGCCGGTCGTGTATATGCCGACCCGGCTGCTCCTTCGGGTCGCACACCTAATGCGGCTGTGGACTTGGCTGCTTCGTTGCAGCGTCTGCGCACTGCCAACATCGATCCAGCTAAGATTTTTTATGTCCAGCTTGTTGATGGCGAGCGTCTTTCCGCTCCGTTGGATGAAAATCATCCTTTCCATGTTGCTGGACAGCCTGTGCGCATGAATTGGTCTCGCAATGCCCGTCTGTTTCCCCTCGAGGAGTCGCGTGGTGGTTATCTGCCCATTGTGGATGTGGCTCGCGTCTTCTTTGAAGATCTCGGCTTCCGCGGCTGGGTTTCCCTTGAACTCTTTAGTCGAACTCTCGGTGAGACTGATCCGTTTGTTCCTGCCGATCACGCTCGCCGTGGTATAGAATCATATAACAAAATGGCTCGTATCTTGCGCTGGGATGACCATTCTGAGACCGCCTCGGTGTCAAACCCGGCGCCTGAGTTACCTGTTCAACACCGCCTCTAGGCGATTGACTTGCACTTGCATTTTCCTTTCCATTCTGTATAGCATATGGCATCTGTACATACACCTGTTAACGACTTTTGACGATTTTTATTGTTTGACATCACACGGATATACTCAACTGCCTGGGCGTTGCCCAGGGTTGGCAGGCACTCATTACTCAACCTGTATGTTTTACCAATATTCTACAATAGACCGTGATGCAATTTAAGATCCATTTATACTGCGAGGAAGTGGCACAGGGGCAATGTGGTAGCGAATTTAGCTGATGATGTTATGCTTGGCCGGTCTGCTCAATTCAATTTTTTATTTAGGCAGTCTTGTTGTTGATCTTAAGAAGTTCGACCTCGCTGCAAAATAGTTAGTTTCGCTGCAATATTGTTTCCTTGAAAGAACTTACAAGATCAGAGTAGAGCCTGCAGGGATCTTGCCAGCCGCCCTGTGTAGAAGAAGAATGTTAGAATACTCTCAGTTGCCGGATGCCACGGCATATGTAGTAATCGCCTGAATGCCTAGCTTGTTCACTTACTTGTCACCGTAACCGTAGTCACTGAAAGATAGTTAGTAGTGGTCTAATTTGGTATTGTTCGATCTGGAGTTTACTCACGGGGTAATGGTCAGAAGTGCCTTCTCTCCCAGGGTCATCTGCATGACACCCTCATCCCAGCCTAATCAGACAGATAGTATTAACATCCAGTTTCGAATATAACATGATAATAAATTCAAGCATTGCAAATATGAATGATTCCATTGAGATAAGAAAGAAGAAAGAGGATAAGATACCCTTGATAACCTTTCCGACACCAATCTGAACATTGAAAGGGCCACGGCCAGGGAGTCTGGAGCTATCGAATCTATTGCGTAGATTATTAGTATCTAAAATACTTAAGGTATAATATAAACGGTTGGAGGGTATGGAGGTTAGCTTACTGCTTGCCCTGGAAGCCCTTGTTGGACTTCTTAGCATCGTAGAGCCATCCCGAGTAGTGGATAGTGACAGTATCTCCCGCAGCAGGCGAGCCAGAGCCGGTACCACGAGTAATAATCTTCCTTTCGACACCCATATTGAATTGTGTATTAAATGTTGAGATAAAAAGTGAGGAATGAAAGAAGAGGTGAGGTTCGAGGGGGCAACGGTTCGTATTTTTTTCTGATAGTGGGGGAAAGCGGTAGCGGCCTATGGGCTCCGATATGTACAAGGATTTGATTTTGAACATCCCGTATCTTTTATGATGTCATGTTAAAGAAAGGTCTAATAATTATATCCATCTCTTTTGTTGAATGGTATACTGAGGAATTGGTGGGGGAAAACTTCTAATCTCTTCATGGGAAATGAGTCCATATATTGAAACTATCATGAGATTGGCGTTCGTGATACCATGCACTTTCCCGTTGATTATACACCCTCTGTGTTGAGAATTAGATTAAAATACTCTCGTCAAGGCCAAGGTTGTATGTTGTTTGTAGTGAGGAAACCTGCATAGAGTTGATAGCCTCGATCGGCTACTGGCAGTTGTCGTCCCATCTCAGTTTAGCGTTAAATGCCAAAAGTGGTAATTGCGATAATTGATTAGGTCTAGGGAAAAAAGAATGGAGAGCACTATCTATCTGAATTACTGTGCTGTCACTTACCCTGTGATGAGTCTACGATGGAAAGATCCGTGTCTGAATGGAGCTGAGCCTTCCTGGCCAATGGCATGCCCATCGATTTGCTCTCAGTTTGCCTAGCAATCTTTCCAGTCGCTAAGCATTAAAACAGAAATACCGGGCCTCTTCTGGGAAAATCGTTCAAGTTGTTGGCAGAGAAACGCTCTGTTTGACTTTTGAAAATTACATTGAATTTTGCCTTTATATTGATCCGTTCCTCGAGGATTTTACAAGAGTATCATTTACAATTGCCTACTCTGTATAAGAATATTGTACTCCGTAGAGAAGATGTCATCTGCCGCGTGTAAACCCCACTCTTAGCGTCGATCCAGTAACTATATTTTCCAACTTGGACGGTTTTCTATGTTAATATTAATTTCTTCGATATTCGAACAAACTATATATGTTATCCGAATTGCTGATTATTGTTATATCTCTCGAGGTAAGTACTCCATACAGATACCCATCGTCCAGATCTGCCCAGTGTCAGATAATTATAAGTGGACCCAATAGGTCATTGGCAGCTATCCATGGAATACCGATATTCATAACATTGCCTATGTTGTTCATTTGCGATCAGCCGCTGATCAGTATTATCGATGTTTTTCTTTTCGCTGTTCTACTCCAACCCAATCTTATACTATGAGGCTTTAGATTGGTATCTTCAGTCTGATGAGTTTGAGATCAAATATTTCGAATTATTTCTGAGGTATGCTCTCTATTACTTCATTTATAAAAATAATCTTGATTTATACTACCTGTTCTAGTTATATTCATGGTAGTCTAAGGCAATATGAGAAGCCTTTTAACCTTCTAGATTTGATTTTATAGATAGTTCTGTCTAGGTCCTATATCTAACTCGTACATAGTGAAAGAAAAATCTATTTTTATCAGGCATATATATACTGGATCCTGGACCTTTACTAGTATTGCTAAGAGTATTGTTTGATAAGATGTCGTGTCTCACACGAGAAAATAATAGGTTATATTTACCAGCGAATCAAAAAGGGGTTAATTAACTCACTTTCGGGTACTCCGTAGCAAAATAGAAAAAAAAATTAAACAACATTCAGCTATGATTCGCAAGCCATTATTGAAAGCCCTTTAATGTGATGGAATCTCACGTGACATGTTTCATAATTTCCAAAGATATAGAAGATTAGGGGGCACTTGAGACTCGGTGTTTTCAATTGTTTTAAACTGTCTAGACCGCGAGATTCGATTATTTGTGAAACCACAGGGCTGGGAACCGGTCAGAGATAAAAATGAAGTGTTTGAGACTAAATAGCCGTACCATGGTCAAAGCGATGGACTATGGGGGGGCTATGGAGCGTCAGATCCGAAGAGGGAAAGCTGAATTTCTCTTTATAGCTTAGGGGCTTATTATTTTTGGGAGATTGTTGGGAGAATATAATATATTCAACTTCATTAGTATTATTTCTAGGCAGATCAAATCAGATTGGATCAAATTCAGGGGTATCAACAACCTCATTGGTCATTATAATGGGGAAATGAAGGCCCGCACGTTCTGGGCATCAACGGTATATGGTAATGAGTATAAAAAGTACGTAGACGAGAATAGGTTGGGCATATAATTATAGTACAACATATATAACAATAAAATGTTTGGGAGATAAAGATTTTAGTAACGTGGGGAAAGACTGGCAGAAAGTCAACCTCCTTTCTCCCTCCACCTCCCCCTAATCCCCCTCCAATTCTCTGTTTCATTGCCTTTTCATTTTTCATTTTCTCCATCCTTATTTCCGGATTTCATTTCCTTTAGTACCGGGGCTTCCTCCGCTTGTCCAACCTTGAAACCAATCCCAACGCCCGCGAGGGGCAGTCTCCGTTTCATTTCGCCTGTTGCGCTTAACAGTTACAACACCCGCGATTATTTTATCTGAAACACCTCTGTAGCACGGCCAGTGCCTGGTACGTCGACAGATGGATACCCCATAATCCCTGGTTGATAGTCGAATATTTGCCCGCTATCCTCCTGGCCCCCATACGTGGTTAGCCCTGCTTGTTTTGGTTCGGGGACTGGGAAGACAAATGTCTTACGCTTAAAACTAGTGTTTGATCACGTTTTTTTTAACCATTCGGTAGCCTGCAGGTTCAGCCACCATTCGCCGTTCTTTCAGCCCCCCTGTTGCATCTCCCCCTCCGAACCCGCACCGACGTCCCCATCTCCCTAATTTCGCCTTCCAAGCGGGTTGCGCTCAACAAAACCCATCTTCAAGGAGCCAGCGCACAAGGCGCATGCGACTTCGGGTCGGATCTCCGTGGCGATTACCAGTCGCTCGTATAGACACATTCTGGATTGGTCTGCGTTCCCCGCCAGACTTGTATTCGCATCAATATACCATCATAGTCGACCTTACACCTTACGCGGTAAATAGTGGATCTCAAGATGGAGAACCAAGGCGCTTACCCGGAGTCTCCTATGGAGCAGGACGAGTCCTACCCATGCAAGGGCTGTGGAGAGGTAAACATAACGTGGAGCGAGGGGATAGGACTTGACTAACTGTCACGATAGACTCTTGAAGAAGGGAAAGCGTTTGAGCTTGGTATGCCGGATATTCTGTGGTCTTTTAACGTATTGCCATGTCACTAACCTCTGGCAGCTGGAAACCGATGGCACATAGACTGTTTCCGGTGCAGTACATGCAGCACTTTGCTTGACTCGGACGCGCACCTCCTCCTTTTGGGCGATGGATCACTTATATGCAGCAACTGCACATATAGTTGTAGCTCCTGCAACAACAAGATCGAGGATTTGGCCATCTTAACAGGAGACCAGGCTTTCTGCGCGCAATGCTTCCGATGCCGGAACTGCAAGCGAAAGATTGAGAACTTGCGCTATGCGCGCACTTCACAGGGTATATTCTGCATGGAATGTCACGAATCACTAATGGCACGAAGAAGAAAACGAAAAGCCGGCGGCACTAGTGGGAAAAAGCCAGCTGGGCCTAATGTGAAGCTGGACAAATCCTTGCCGTCGTTGCCTCCCCACCTTCAAGAGGCACAATTAATGGAGGAAGAGCCTAGTGAATATACAGGCACGCCTGATCCTAGTAAAATGGCGGAAACGCCTGATCTAAATGATGAAAGACCGCAAAGCTCAACTTCCAATCAGCAAGCCGATTCAGGTATGAAACCATTCAGAAACTCCTTTTGCAGCCTAGATGTACAAACATCGAAGCCTTACACTTTGCCTATTGTTCCATTAATCGCGTGATCTATACACCGCCCTCTATTGTTCTATACATTGCCTTTGCCTTCACTTATTGTTGTGGAACGCGTCTCTTAAGATACCCAACGCGTTTCTGATCCTCTTACTTACTTCTTCGCACAGACATTCTCCTCCCATCTAGCACATATCGCAGTAGTCGTCAATCAATTCCACGCAAAACTGATGCAGATGGTGGTGAATTATTGATTCCTCTTGCTTTTGATCCTTCGGCTGAGGGTAAATCCCGTGGTCACTCACAAACACGGCAAGAACCCAGTCGCGACTATTACAATCAAGTTCAATCCAGTGAATGCTCACACAGGGCCTCGCGCGACGGCCGTGCATCTTCGGAAAACCATTCACCCCATATTGCATATCAAGAGAAAGGTTGGGAACGAAACGACGCCAATTCATCCGATAAAACACCAATCTCCGATTCCAAACCTGCAAGGGCAGACTCGACTCGCAGCTCATCCGACATCCCGATCAGCTTCAGAGAAACAAGCAATCTTTCTGGGCCTACCAGCCCTGTTAGCACCAAATCAAAGGATTTCTCCAGTGACTCAAAACGACACGTTCCAATGGATAGTGTTACTTCGGGTCCGACTCGTCCCTCAAATGAGCTTCGTCGTCTTCACGACCATGGCTCAGTGGACTCGGCGCGCTCTCAAGCTTCCGGTTTGCCACATTTGCCAAAGCGCGGCGATTCGCTGGAGGGCAGGCTTCACCAAATCCCAAGGAAAGAGGTCGGAACATCGCCTGTGTCATCGCAATACGAGGACTCTCCCATGCTCCGTAGTGACACTTTCGAACAGCCGATTCAATCTACTCCTTTGAACGAATCACACCCATACGATAACTCCGGCGCATCCACCTTGCTACGGTATAATAGCGGAGGTGACTTCTCTATGGATGAAGAGTTATCGCGCATCATCGGCGGCGATGACACAGTCGGGCAAAATAACGAGTCATTCCTGCGGCGCGTCTCAAACTCCGTCCGCCATGGTCGAAGCTTCAGTGAGAAGAGTGTGCGAATGAGCAAAGATCTCAAGAACCCCCGATCCCCGAGCACTCGAAGCATAGCTGGAACAGATGTGGGCAGTCCCATCGCCGGATCACAGAGTGAAGAGATCGCTTGGCTTCGCAACGAACTGCGCAAAGAACGCCTGCGAGTTGCAGAACTGGAATCAGCCGCTCGCGCCGCAGCAGACGTCAAGCAGGTTAACACTGAGCTTTCTGAGAAGCGATCTACCATGGTCGTCCTTGACGCTCAGCGCGAGATCGTTTTACGTGAACTCACGGTTCTCACCGATCACATGGAGGCTGAAAAGCGTGGTGGCACCAGTGGGCCACTGGACCTTGGCAAACTCTCCAACCACGTCCTGCGCGAGCTGGCAGAGTCTATTCAAAAACTGAAAGACTCGTATGCACCGCAAATTGAGGAGCTCATGCAGAAGCGCAATGACCTGTCGGAGGAGCTGGAAGCCATGAACACTCGAAAGGAGAAGAGCTTCCAGGAATTCGAGCAATTGTCGATGAAGAATGCACAGCTAGCTGAGTTAAATAATCAGCTGGTTCACCAGATCCAAGAACTGTACAAAGCTACGGAAGGTCAATCCCGACCCAACGGTCTAGGCATCTCACACAATAAACAGCAGTCCACCAACTCTATTGAAGTGATGAAACCTTCCTTCTCCAATGACTATCAGGGATCGATGTCTACTGCTCACATTTCAGAGGACTCTGAGCCTGCTACGGCTACTGTTGTGCCAGGCCCCCAGGTTGTCAGCATTCGCAAGGGCCAGCCTCGCAAGTTCAACTGGAAAAAGGGTGGACAGAACGTTGCCAAAGGTGTCAAGGGTCTTAAGGGGGCCTTCATGTCCAGTGAAGGACAGCCACATGAGGGTGGCGGTGGTCTACCGCGTTCTCAGACTCAAGACCCGAGTCGTCAAGGCTTTGGTTTCTTTGGAAACCAGAGAGGCAAGCAGGGAGGGAAGATGTCTCAAGCTGACAGCGTTCCTGTGCTCGCTGAAGTTGCTGCTGATGGTATGTACCCTATGCTATCATTCAGGATGTTATCAGAAACTAATTACTTTCAGCTCTCTTCGGCACCGAACTTGAGGCTCGCATGGAACATGAAAAGAGTATTATCCCAGCCATCGTCACGCGGTGTATTCAGGAAGTCGAATTGCGAGGTATGTTTCGTCTGGTCATTCAGTCGCTCGTTATACTAATAAATAAAACCAGGCATGGACATGGAAGGCATTTATCGCAAGTCCGGTGCCGCTTCAGTCATCCAAACGATTCGCGAAGGCTTTGAACGATCTCCATTTGATTACGATATCTCCGACCCTGACCTTGATATTCATGCTGTCACATCTACCTTGAAGCAGTATTTCCGAAAACTTCCTAACCCCTTGATCACTTACGAAGTTTACGAACTTGTGATAGATTCTGCTGAGGTTAGCCCTATGTCCGCGCGAATTGAGCTCATGCAGAAGAGTCTACTCGAGCTGCCTCGCGTGCACCGCGATGTCCTAGAATTCCTTATTTTCCATCTCAGACGCGTCGTCGAGCGCCATGAGGAGAACCTGATGACCAGTCAGAATGTCGCGGTGGTCTTTGCTCCAACAATCATGCGACCTGAAAGTCTCGCCCGTGAGATGACCGACGTCCAGAAGAAGAATGATGTCCTCAAGTTCCTGGTGGAGAACTGCCAGGAAGTTTTCATGGGCATGCAGGGCTAGTGTCGAAGTACTTTTCGTCCCATGTCCTTTATTCACCCCGATCTTTTATCATCGCACCGTCATGCATCGATGGACCCAGTTCTTGGGCGTTGATATCAAAACATGAATTGTTCTTTCATCTCCACATGCTCTTTTTCAAAACATTGTCCCCTCCCCTTTATGTACAGATACCACTCCTTCCCGTTCCCTCCTCTCCCACTTCTTTACTCGGTTCACGGTCAGCGCTGCACGCTTGATACAGATACCCTGTCTTGCCTTTTTCTTTTTTCGTGCCCAACTTTTCCCTACATATTCTGCGAATTTGAAGCTAGTTGATTTCCTCAGCCTTGGCTAAGTTTAGCCTGGCTGTCCCGGTGACCAAAAATTCCTTATGGGTGGTTCACTTCCTGTCCTTTGAGGCATGTCGGTGTTATGTTTGTTTCCGACTCCGAGCGAGCATTGAGTCGTCTAGCGTTAAGCATCCTTATGCAGCTGTTCAATTGAAATGCGGTAGTAGCTGCAATGATATTCACATACGTTAGTTAGGCCCCTAGTATGATATCATGAAATTTTGATCTGATATTGACCGTTATCACAGGCTATATGGAGCAGTCGTTAGAGATTGCGATTTTCACGAGATCTATATTTACGGAAAAGTATTTCTTTACGAGTGTAGGGTGGAAATATTGAGAATATAATGTATTACAATATTATTTCCCAGCTAGGACTATGTATAGATCGGCTATAGTACAACATAAACGTGAAAAGTGTAGATGAGTGGACCTGGTCCAAGCACCCACCGCCTACGACATCGAGGCCACCCGAGCTCTCCCCTCAACCCCAACTCCCCTCGCCCTTGAATTCCCCATAATCAACCATGTCCAAACCAAGCAAATACCTCCTCCTCTCCCTCCCAACCTCCATCGTCCCTTCGCACCACCGCGACGATGCCCTCGAAGCAGTCTCCGCCACCGTCTCACCGGACAATGGCTCCGCTACCTCCTTCCCAATCCCCGAGTTCAAGATCGGCACACTAGATGCCCTCGTCCAGCAGGCAGACGAGTTGTCCAAGCTCGAGGCTTCATGCCAAAGTGTCGTCGCCAAGGTCGGCGATGCGTTGAAGAACATCCTCGAGGATGAGGCCCAGATTGAGCAGATGAAGGTTGTCAACGATAGTACGTCTCCGGCTTTGTATTGATCTGGCTGTGACGGGGAACCACAGTGAAGGGATATATCTCTGCGTTCGAGGTTCTGACTGCCTACAGAGCCAGTCGATCAGTACCTGCGTACTTTCCAATGGAACAAAGTCAAGTACAGGGCCGATAAGCCCTTGGCGGAGCTGATTGATCTGCTGCAGAAGGTTTGTTGCGCGCATAGAAACGTCTTTGTCGGCTTGGAGTTACATGTGCTAATACTTTTTGTCTATTTAGGAAGCGTCCAGCATTGACAACGACATCCGATTCAAGTACTCCCAATATAACCAGGTCAAGAACACGCTGTCCACACTCCAGCGGAAACAAACGTACGTTAACCCCCGATGCGGAGACTGCAATATGTGGTATAATGCGAGAATAAGGGCTAACCAGCTCTACACAGAGGTAACCTCTCAACCAAGTCCCTCGCCTCAGTGGTCGACCCGAAATCCATCATCCAGGACTCCGAATACATCGAAACCCACCTCGTTGCCGTGCCCGCCCAGCTAGTAAAAGACTTCCTGAAGACCTACGAGACCGTCGCGCCAATGGTGGTCCCGCGGTCCGCGCAGCTGGTCGCCTCCGACAGTGAGTTCACGCTGTATGCTGTGGCAGCATTCAAGAAGCACAGCGTCGAGTTCGTGCATAAGTGCCGTGAGCAGAAGTGGATCCCGCGCGACTTCAAGTATGTCGAGGGTGGAAAGGAGGAGGAGCGCAAGGAAGTTGAGCGCGTTGGTGGTGATGAGCGTAAGGTATGGGGTGAGACGCTGCGACTCGGACGTACGGCTTGGAGTGAGGCTGTTATGGTGTGGATTCATATTTTGGTTCTGCGGGTGTTTGTCGAGACGGTCCTGCGGTATGGATTACCATTGGATTTCGTCTGTGCCTTGGTCCGGGTATGTTCTCTCTATGGTTTGGCTTTTACAGCGGCATTGGCTAACTTTACACAGACACAAACTACCAAGCAAGCAGACCGTGCAAAGCAAAACCTCGAGAATAAATACTCATATCTGGCGGGCAATGCCTTTGGACGGGACAAGAAGGGCCGTATGCAGCGGGATGACCCTGGCGAGATGCACCCTGGTGGTGAGGGCAGCGCAGACTACACGCCGTATGTGTTTTATGAATTCGAGTTCAACTAAGGATTGCCTATTTGAGGCCTTGCAGGAGATTTCGAGAAGCGTACATATACCTTGGTACATCTAGCACAAAGTGAATATTTTTTTTATTTTCATCGGATTCAATCCGATTTCTGATAAATGCAATGTGCAAAAGCGATCTATATTGTCCACCTATGTACAGAAGCGGGGAGGGGAATCACAAAAACACCATATCCGCTGTACAGGACTCTTTTATGTAAATCCATCATATCCCAAAAACCACCTTACTCCTTCTTGGGAGGCAAGTACCCCTTAGAGTCAAGGTAATCAATAATCTGCTTAACAGCATCCTGAACCGGCAACTCATAGTTCTTAACATGAACCTCAGGGTTAGCCGGCGCCTCATAAGGAGCCGAAATACCAGTAAACTCCTTAATCACACCCTCCCGAGCCTTCTTGTACAGACCCTTGGGATCACGCTGCTCAGCAACCTCAACAGGCACATCAACATACACCTCAACGAAAGGCAACCCGGTCTGCTCGCCGGGTGTGGCAGCCTCGTGCAGCTGGCGGGCTGTGTCACGATCTTTCCGGTAAGGGGAGATGAACGAAGTGATAGCGATGGAGTTGGAGTCGGCGAATAGCTTGGCCACTTCCGCAATACGACGGATGTTCTCGTTGCGGTCGGCCTCGCTGAAACCAAGGTCCTTGTTCAGTCCAAACCGGATGTTGTCGCCATCCAGACGGTAGGCGTGAATACCGCGGTCACGGACGAGTTGGTGCTCCAGTTCCACGGCCAGAGTGGACTTGCCGGAGGCGGAGAGTCCGGTCAGCCAGATTGTGAGACCTTGTTGGTTGCGGAGCTCGGTGCGCTCGCTACGGGTCAGGGCGCTAGCGTGGAAGGTGATGTTGCTAGGTTTGTTAGATGGATTTTTCGAATTGGTGGTTCTTCTTTTTGGACTTACGTAGACATTTCGGTATATGAATTATAAAGAGGGAATGAAAGAAAGTTGAAATTGAAAAATGTTATAGAAATAAGGAGGGGCAGTGGAACTGCCGCGTCACTGAAGATGTGATCATCGCGGGATGTCGCCATTGCTTGGCATTTTATATTTCATACAGAGTACTCCGTAGTATAGTATAGAATAGTAACTATAGTAACTATAGTTAGTTTTATATATAACTAATATGTTTTAATATGACTCGTACATTTTATCTAGTATGTACAATATAGGTATGTAAATGAATATTTACAAATTCAATTCTATATCTATTCGCCACAACGCCAGGAACCAGGAACAAGGAAATTTCTTCACGCCACTTTGTAGAGACTCGAAAGTGCCTGGAAGAAGTTAGTAAAAGTCAATAGTAGCCATGTCAATTCCAACTTACAGCAGCTTGTCGAGGTTCAATGAACAAAGCCTTAGCTTCAACTAAAACCAACGGCTCTTTACCATCAACAGGAAGAGTCTCAATGCGACCTTCCACCCACGCCTTCCGACCCTCAACCTTAATCGTCTCCGCACGGAGAGCAACATACTGATTCGCCATAGCAGGAGCACGGTAATCAATATTCAAATTGGCCGTAACACCCACTTTATTCGGCAGCGCGGGGAAACAACAACGCGCCAGACCCTCATCCAACAGTGTAGCCAGTAGACCACCATGAATAATCCCCTGGTGACCGCAGACATCACCACCTAGATACATGAGCGAGACCATTGACTTTCCGTCGCGCTCGCTGAATACATATGGCGGCACGACGATCTTCCCCGGTCCGGCTAGCGTTCCGGCTGTGAGGTTGCGCTCGCGCAGGGGGCCCGGGATTGTGAGGTGCGGGCGGGATTCGGAGTAGTCGGGGTTTGCGCGGAGGGCCTCTGCGACAGGGTGGGTGCGGATGGTATTGTCTATCTCTGCGGTTGCGGAGTCATTGGCGATGAAGGCTGTTAGGGTCTCTTCTTCGGTTGGGGTGGCCATGATGCGTGAGAGGGTGAGTTGGGTTTGGTAGGTTAGGCCGACGGTGAATGCGAAGACGGCGATGGAGGTGAAGCCAATGAAGCGACGGAAACGAGAGCGAGGGGGAATAGATGTGGATTCTGGAGGGTTAGTCCTGGAAGATGGGGCTGTTTATATATAGCGTACGGGTTGAGTAAGACTTGAAAGCCCTCGGAGCAGCGGAGAAAGAGTGGGGTGAAGGAGTGCGAGAAGGAAAGGGAATGCGAAGGGAAGGAATAGATTTAAAGGATCGCATCATTAAATTATAAAAGAAAGTGATTGATAATGAAAAAAAAAGTTCCAAAGAGATCTAGAAGGCGAAGTTGTTGAGGAAAAGAGTGGTTGAGTGGATTTTGTTGCCTCGGCATCTTCAAGTTCATATTTTTATTCACATAACTTGGATTGAAATATATTATTTTCTTATTTCTCAGACTTTCTACTTATATATGAGGATTTAATTCTGAATATAAGACCCTATATACCGAATTTGAGTCCTCATTGTCTATGGACGTATAGGCAAGACACCACAAATTGGTCTTCTCTGGATACCGAGCCATATAGCGAATAACTACATGGGAAGCCTAGGCATGGGAAGCCGAGAGCTCTGGAGTCCACTTGACAGGCAAATACAGTGAGCTTACTGTAATGAGTATTAAGGTTATAGAGTACAAATCTGAAACATGCAATAGTTAGCTAGACCTAAGTTCGATAATGTAATCGCTATTCCCAATAACTAGTTGACTGAAACATAAAACCCAAATCAAAGAGCAGCGAACAAGCTTTTCCCTAAGCGGCAGATTCTCTCTTACGGAAGGAGGAGGGACCTCGCGAAGCTATAAGCGAGGGCCCAACAGCCGGAAGCAACGGTTCCATGTCGACGGTTGAGAGCAATTGGGCAAATGCCTCCCATATCATGCAGACAAACACGCCAGCTGACCCGTTACTCTTCTCGAACCCATCAATTATCTTGATCTGAAACCTAGCAGGCATCTTTTCGATCACCTTCTCAAACTCATGGACCACTTCGGGGGATCTGCCTTCAAGTGTGAGCATAACAAGCACTTGTGTTTCTCGATTGTTGGATAATAGTGGCTGCGGCATTGAAGGTAAAGAAGGGAGTGAGGTTGGTGTGTGGTCAGACGATGACGCCCCAAGATGAATTTTAGGACCAGAAGCAGCTGCGACTTTGAAAGGTAAAACGATTGATTTCACTCCACTGTGACAAGAGAACCGAGGAATACATACATTAGCTGGGTTCTTCTTCTGCACTGCGTGGAAGATCTCCTCGGTCGAAATAGACATTTTGCCAGAATTGAAAATGGGTCGAATTGTTCGTGAAAGTCTCTATGTGAAGGATATTCCGGACACCCGCAATCTTGCCCATAGGGGGGCGCCACACGCAGCTATTACATGTATAGAATATGGAGAGCTAGTGCTAGAACTCCCTGAATGACAGCAATCCAAGATAGCAAAAAAGTCTATAGACAATCCATTAGGGGTCAAATCACATTGTATATCGTCTCACGATACTAGCTTCTTGTTTCTATGGTTAGCTAAAGAAAGGCCTTCCAGAGTGTCGATTACCCTATGGCCGGCATAGGAAAGCACAAGGAGAGATGGGGTTAGGTTCTTGAGCTATGCTTTGATTACTTGGATCAGCTGTAGCTTCAGGTCCTATACAGGCATGGGACTTTCGCTGTTCAGCACAAAGCAATTGTAGGGATCGTCGAACATGTCACGCATTATGACAGTATATGTTTGATTGTCTTCCTTGGCGAGGGTATTACCATCATCCTAGTGTACAGCAAACGCTATGATAGTAGAATACTGGGTTCCTCTTGCTCTTACTGCTATTTCGAGGGCAGCTTTCAGCTGTGGCACGGCCACCATTTCGGAATTCACCCGGATAGGAATCTTTGACGGTGAGGTTTCACCAGAGCGAGACGATGATCGGGTTGGTAAAGTCGGGAGGATTGGAGTGGGCTTCCTAGGCTAAGCAGATGCCATGATGCCCCAACAAGTTGTGTATAAACAATTTGTTGGGGAAATGTGAGACTGATAGGGAAGAAAATGAGAAGAGGTTGCTAGCCGAAGATTGTTAATTGAGAAGGAGAATAAATGTGAAATGAGAGCCAAAGGTTGCCTGAGAGTATTGGTAAAGCAAGAAAAATCAGAAATAGCTGGCTATTTGTTTGTGAGTTGCGAAAGATGAATGTAGTCAATATAAAAAGGTTCATCTCCCTCGACGCAAAGGGAAAAGCTCAATACGTCACATCCAAATTATATATATATTCCCAAGTATATATTCTAAGTATATCTGAGAAGACCTCTAAAAAGACCACTGGAAAGACATTACAAGTATATATATTCAGGAGCAATGTCAACCTGCCATAATTGATTATAATTCACAGAGCGATTGGAATACTATATATATATATCTGTTATGCTCACCAAATTCGCTTCCTTCAACACAATTTGAAGCTCTATAGAACTGACTTTGTCGTTTCTTCCCTCTATAGTCCAAGTGGAATTCTCTTTTAAGAAGGTACTAGGTCCCTACGTGTGACTATAACCAACGCAAGCACCCGCACCACCCACACACGCCCACACCCGTCACACACGCCCCCACTACCATCGCTAACATCAAAGAACTCACATCAACTCGCCTCTATAGTCCAAGTGGAATTTTCTTTTAAGAAAGTACTAGGTCCCTACGTGGGACTATAACCCCCCCCCCCCCCCCTCCTCGCTGCAATCCTCGACTTGATGTTCCCAAAGACATGCCAGGATCTCATACCTACTTAGGACTGGCATCTTCCTTTCGCTCTTATATCGATCATTTCGCGGCCAAAGCAGACCCTTTGCAGCAGCGTAAGTTGGACTTCTTACACGGTGGTCCAATTTCAGGCTCGCCTTGACGCCAATACGCTAGGAAGATAACCGTTCAGAACCTAACAAAGGCCGAATTTGCGGCTTTCGAGACACTCCAAGCCTAGTTCAGCAACCCGTTGACTAAACCACTTCCACCGTATAAGGCAGCTCTATTAAGACATCGGCTCGTCAAAACAAAGAGGACACGAAATCGTCGCCTATCACGCCACTAGGGGCTGCTAACACTCCGATTTGACAAAGCCACTACCTACGACGGCGGTTGGGCTAATATATTTTCTCAGCCGCATGCTGTCAGCGGTAAAAAAGAATTACTGGGCTACGGAACTAGAAGACGCTGTGCTAGTTTTGGAATTGCGAAAGACTGGACATGGGGTCCACGCAGCGCCGGAATACCTCTCCTGTCGTCTATATAAATCACAGTACCACAGTGGCGATCGCTACCAGTATGAATCTGAAATCTGTCGACCTTGAAAAAGTTAACCTTCGGCTGTTCTGGGTGTCACAATATATCCAGATCTTCCCAATCAAGATTTTCCATCGTTCGAAGTAGTCCAAAAGATTACCGATACCCTATCTCATTTGCGTTCCCCTTCACATTCTCACATTTATATCCTTCTACCTCAGAACGAGGACAAGAAAGACCTCTGAAAAGACCAATGAAAAGACATCACAAGGCCGCTTACGCGGCCTATTTATCTTCATCATATATCTATAGTATCCAGGCTTTACAAAGAACCTATCGAAGCCACATCTAGAAGGTGATACTAGTTCTGATTTACTTCATACATTAGTGACAGGTTACACTGCTTCTAGGAAGTGACATAAAAATACTGCCTAGATCAATCTTGTCTTGGGCTGTTGCTCAACCTATCAATCCGGGCACACGAGTCCCACCTCGAGTACAGCCTTACACAACATGGGGCACATCCCCGGATCCATATACGGAAATATAGCGGAATGCCACAGGGATCAACAGGGATCGCCAGGGGCACACATACCAGACAGGTGCAAGGGATCTAAATAGCAGACCTTCCCCACGCTCTCGCTCAGTTTTTATTAAACTTATAGACCATGACACCATATTTATTACTGCTAATTTTAACCAGTCGCATCCTAGTCAATGGTGCAAATATCCCCGTGGAAGATTATGATGTTCTACAATATATCAATCCCTTGATTGGCAGTGCCAACGGAGGTAAGTTCGAACAACCAATCAGTTCCAGTTTCATACCAACCAATTCTTCTCAGGAAATGTGTTCCCAGGTGCCTCCTTACCATACGGCATGGCAAAAGCCGTCGCCGACACAGACTCAGAGAGTAATCAAGGAGGCTTCGCCCACGAGGGCGGCAGCGTCACCGGATTCTCTAGCATGCATGACTCCGGCACTGGGGGCAGCCCTTCACTGGGAAATTTCCCTCTATTTGCTTATGCAAAATGCGCTGGTGACGATGTAAATGGCTGCGTTTATCCGAAGAACCAACGAAAAACGAAATACAAGTCCGACTCGGTCCAGGCTCACCCAGGATACTTTGCTATAGAGCTGACATCGGGGGTGCGTGCTGATATGACGACAGCGCACCATACGTCCCTGTTTCGCTTCCAGTTCCCAAATGATAAAAGTACCAGTCCATTAATCTTGCTGGATCTCACCGATTTGTCGAATTCCCGCCAAGATAATGCGACCATCTCGGTGGATAGCAAAACCGGCCGCATGACTGGTGATGCGCGGTTCAGTCCTAGCTTTGGATCAGGATCCTACGTCTTGCATTTCTGTGCGGACTTCAAGAGCCATGCTGCCCAAAGAGATAGTGGTATCTTTGTCAATTCTCGGGCTAGTGCTGGGGTTCATGATTTGAAGATCTCGCGCAGTATCAATGGGTACCCGCTTCCAGTGAGTCGATGGGCCTTTTCTTCTTGGATATATAGAGCTGACCATAATGTCATAGGGTGGTGGATTTGTCCGCTTCAAGCCTGCCGCGGACAATACGGTCCTTGCTCGAGTTGGCGTCAGCTTCATGAGCACAAAGCAAGCTTGCACTTACGCCGAGTCTGAAATTCCACACTTCGACTTCAACGCAACACGCCAGATAGCAGTCGACAAATGGACGGAAAAGATGCGTCCAATCCGTGTCTCACGAACGAACATCGACGCCTCGGTTCTGTCTAATTTCTACAGTGGGATCTACAGAACTATGGTAAATCCGCAGAACTACACAGGCGAGAATCCGCTCTGGCAGAGCAGCGAACCTTACTTCGATTCATTCTATTGTCTTTGGGATTCTTTCCGTTCCCAGATCCCATTCCTCACTATCTTCGATCCCTTCTCCGTAATGCAGATGGTGCGATCACTCATCGATACTCAGCGCCATCTAGGCTGGCTGCCGGATTGCCGCATGTCACTGTGCAAAGGATACACACAGGGCGGTTCCAACGCCGACAACGTCCTAGCAGATGTCTATCTAAAAGGACTCAAGGATGGCATTGATTGGGAAGCCGGGTATGCAGCCGTACAAAAGGACGCAGAGGAGGAACCATACGACTGGTCCAGCGAAGGCCGCGGTGGTCTACGCAGCTGGAAGAATCTACACTATATACCCGTAGAAGACTTCGACTACGAAGGCTTCGGCACAATGACACGCAGCATCTCACGCACACTCGAGTATTCATACAACGACTTCGCCATCGCACAAATGGCTCGCCGCATGAACAAGACAGCCGATGCAACACGGTACGAGCAAAGATCCCGATACTGGCAAAACCTATTCAAAAAGGATCAGTCCTCTCTCTGGAAAGGAAAAGACACTGGCTTTACCGGCTTCTTCCAACCAAAACATCTGAACGGAACATGGGGCGTCCAAGATCCCCTCGCATGCTCGAACATCGACCAAAGCGGACACGCCTGCTCACTGCAGAATACCGCTGGCGAAACATTCGAATCCAGTATCTGGGAATATCAATTGTAAGATTCGTCCCAAGTTCTATCCCAAATCCCCACTAACAAAACCAGCTTCGTCCCCCACGACATGCAAACCCTAATAAACCTCCTCGACGGCCCGACCGAATTCGTCACCCGTCTCGACTACCTCCACGACCAAAACATAACTTACATAGGCAACGAGCCCGCCTTCCTAACAGTCTTTCAATATCACTACGCTGGTAGACCCGCAAAGTCCACTTCCCGCGTGCGCACCTATATCCCAGATTACTTCTCTCCCACGCCAGCCGGACTGCCAGGTAACGATGACTCAGGCGCAATGGGCTCGTTCGTCGCCATGGCGATGATGGGACTATTCCCGAATCCAGGACAGGATGTATATTTACTTACAGTACCGTTCTTCGAGACTGTTAGTATTGTTTCCCCGTTGACAGGGAAAACGGCTATAGTGAGAACGGCGAACTGGGCGGAGTTTAACACGCCTAATGCTACTGGCGGTGCTGTTGGTGGGAATGGGTTTATTCAGTCTGCTACGGTGGATGGGAAGCCTTGGACGAAGAATTGGATTGGACATGATTTCTTCACTGAGGGGAGGGAGTTGGTTCTTGTTCTTGGGAAGGAGGAAGGTAGCTGGGGGACTAGAGTGCAAGATTTGCCGCCTTCTTTGGCGCCGGAGGATGGGGTTGGTGGTCGTGGTGCTGTGAGGGAGCGTAGGTGGGAGAGTGTTGTTGAGGGTGGGCAGGTTGATGCTGTTTCTGGTGCGTCGAAGCGTGCTTTGCATCTTGAGCAACATGTTCGTAGGGCTGGGGATGGTCATGTGGATATAGGGGGTTCTTGGTAGGTTAATTTGTCTTGTGGTGCTGCTGATTGTAGGTAGCTATTCTATTATACTCTGCATTCGGTGGGTGGTTTAACATTATAACAATATTCATTTCGTCTTGTCTCAGGCATATAATTTCTGCTTTTCAAAGGGCTTGGGCATTTATATCTACACCTTCATACTTGCCGACATTGAACAACGCTAGTCAAGATACAAATATATTTGTGGGGACAGAGATAGCATGGCATGGAAATGAGAAAAAAAAAGTCTTTTGATATGATGAATATCAGTCGTGAAGTCGGAAACATATATACAATGGCCAAGTAATAAAATCATCTCAACGCTAGTCTTTCGCACGAGTCCCTCCATTTTAGAAGAACAAAAACTGAAAAAGCAGAAAACAACCTACAAGTAGAGTTGATCATTTATCCTCTACTGAGGAGGACGGTGGAACTTGCTCGCAATCCAAGGCATACCGACAACAGTAGCCTTGCGGACCTTATTACGGACCTTAACAGCCAGCTCGGTACCCTTCGTGTGAAGCCCTTGCTTGACGTACGCCATAGCAATATTGGCACCACCAAGAGATGGGCTAGGGAGACCGGAAGTGACGACGCCGACTTCGACGGGGTTTGCGGGGTCCGAGATATCGACGACGAGAGCGCCCTCACGAGCTGGGGGACCCTTCTCAACGGAAAGTCCGACGCGGCGCTGTGGGATGGTCTTCGGGCTGGCGAGTTGGGAAAGGATAATGGAAGCACCGTTGAATGTAGCAGTGGCAGGATCGCGACGATCACGACCGACGACCCAGCCAAGGGCCGCGGCGGGTGGGGTCTGCGCGGTGGAGATATCATGGCCGTAGAGACACATGCCTGCCTCAAGACGGAGGGAGTCACGGGCTGCCAGACCGGCGAGACGGGATTTGGTGCTGTCGGCTAGGAGGAGCTCGGTGACTTGGCGGGGGAGGGATGGGGCACCGGAAGTGGGGATGGAGATCTCGAAGCCGTCTTCGCCGGTGTAACCGGTGCGGGAGATGAGGAGCGGGTGTGGGGTTGCGCTACCGTCGGGGAGGGTGAGGTACAGCTCGCGGCAGTTGCCGAAGTATAGGGTGCTGAGGTCTGTTTCGGAGGAGGGGGTGTTTGCGGTGTGGATGAGAGGTTGGAGGACAGAGGCGGCGAGGGGACCTTGGAGCGCGACCAGCGCGCGGTCTGCGAGGATCTCCCACTTGATGCTATCGGCTCCGTGCTTGGAGCGGTAGGCGTCGATCTCAGCGGTTAGGAAGGCCAGGTCCTCCGCGCGGCGGCCGGCGTTTGTGACGAAGTAGAAGCTGTCTTCGGTGCGGCGGGTGATAACGCAGTCGTCGACCATACCGCCGGTGCCTTCTTCAAGGAGGCAAGAGAGGGTGGAGGTGTTCGGAGCAAGCTTGTCTACAGAGGAAGGAGTCACCTTCTTCAGAAGGTCAATGGCTCCGGGCCCGCTGAGTTGGTGTTGGACCCTATAGATGGGGAACTGGTTAGGCATTGCGGGTTTGTTTTGGCTCAAACTGGTTCACTTACATGTGGCTCACGTCGAAAAGACTGGCCTTCTCACGAGTCCACATGTGGCTTTCCACATGGCTCAGATCCGCATACTGCAAAGGCATATCGAACCCGGCGAAAGGCACCATCTTGGCACCGTGCTCCACATGCAAGTCATAGAGCTGAGTCTTGCTGAGCGGCTCGCTGGAGCTAGAGGCATAGCGCACACCCTGGTTCGCAGAACGCGAAGCTACGGCCGCAACTGGGGCATTGGCTTTCAATGACCGAAGGACTGTTGGTCGCACGATAGCCGCGGAGGAGAGCTCCCGCCGAAGTACAGTGGAGCCGATAGAGGCGCGGGGAAGGTTGAGGGTGGCGGCCCTCGCGGCGGCGAGGTCAACACCTCGTGTGAGAATACGGACGCTTGACATGGTGACTCAATGGAGGAATTGAATTAACAAAAGAAAAGAGAAAAGGAAAAGAAGCGAACCGCGAGAAGTCACCAATTCACCGTCGGAGAAGCATCACGGGAAAATCACGTGGTGATAGGCCATCGGGGAGAAGCTGCTTGCCCGATTCGGACGTCCAATGGGCGATCTAGTCCTGGAGTTCTTACATGCTAACTACATCACTACACACAAAATTGTGTACTAATCCAATGAATTACCATTTACATTTTCGGTCAGTGGCAATTGTGGTCATGTACAACTCAGGTACATGACTACATTAATTGGGAGACCAAAAAGGCCATCGGAGTATTGCCGCGGCGACGGCAAATCAAACCCGGAGAGCCAAATTGCAGTCTCCAAGCTGACATTCAATTAAAGATGCCAACTGCTGCAAAGAATGCAGGGGTAAAAATATATATAGGGGAAGCGAGTCCCAAAATCTAGGCTTTTTTCCGTCGAGCTATACAGAGCAGTCGAAAGCCTGCGACGGAAATCGCACCCAGAAAACAACTCCAAATATCCCAAAGGTGGCCAAGTAGTATATAAAATCCACGATTATCCGCCACTGTCTTCTCAGTCATCACAGTCATAAATTCCCCGGGGTCATGCCCGGTAGATCGGAAACAACGTGCATAAGAGATCCAAATGCGAAGATGAAGATACAAAAAACACTAAACCCCCGCCCTGCGGGGGGCTTACAGCCCGTTGCTGGCACAGGTGAAAACACCACGCACAGCGCCGTCCGCGTAGCTGGTGACCACGGACATAACAGCAGCCTAGAAGGAATATGTGTTAGCGAGGGAACAATAAAAACAGGCCAGGCCAAAGTAAGCCAAGATTCATCACTTACGTATGTTCCAGGTCCTAAGAAGAAGAAGCCAACGAGAATTAAGAAGACATTAAAAATGAACCCGAGCCAGCCACGGATTCCACGGACCATAAAGAAACGGGGTCCGTGGTCCTCAGCGCGCATGCGGATATAAGCGACACCCCAGAAAATGAATCCGAAGAAAGAGTCAAAGAGGGAACTCATGATCGACAACAAGTCGGAGAAGAACGGAATAACTTCGGCAATAATAAAGGCCGCAAGCCAAAGCCCTGCAAGGATTGCACCCCAAGCAGCCCACCCAACGACAGTGTTGTTGCCCTTGTGGCGGGTACCCTCAAACAGGCGGAAGAAGATGAAACGGGCTGAAACGGAAGCGTACAGGACGCCCAGGAAAATAATAGTTGGGATCATGAACGAGAAGGAGACCTTCTTGAACACGTCGTTGCCGATGGAACCGAAGGCAGGCGCAACCATGTACTGGTTACCGACGTACACGTAGGTAACCGCACCCACAACACTGAAGACGATGATTTCGGCGATTGTCACAGCTGTCACGGACTTCCAGAAGTCACGGGGCTCCTTCATCTCGGCAATGAAACTAGGAAGGGTAATTTGGCCGATGAACGTGTAGCTAATGTTCAAGAAGGCATTCATGCCCTTCACAAATGTCGTGCCCTTGGCCGGGATAACAAGCACAATGGGTTCTCCCAGTGCGGCGGAGTATCCTTTCGGGTGGTCTTCTACGGCGGCGAACACGGCAGCCAAGACGACAGAGATAAAGGTGAAGAATGCCGAGAGGGTTGCAACTTTGGACAGTGTGCTGAATGTACGGGGTAGTGAGAAAACCCAGGAAATGATAGCGACGACCACAGAGAAGACGACTGTGCATGCAGCGCCGCCGGACATCGTGTTCAAGTACTGGGCACCCACGACGCAGTGTAGACCCTGAATGAATGTGTTGTTCAGGAGGAACATGACTGCTGTGGCCCACCACGCAATCTTGGAATCCCAGAACAGATACTGACCTATGTCGCAAACGTCACGGACTTCCGGGTGTCGCAGACAAAATCTCCTATACCAACGTTAATATCGAAGCTTACCACGGGGCTCGCAGCCATTGAGGAGGGAATCATACCAGGTAATCAGCGAAGTGTACAGGACAACGCCAGCAATAAACACGGTCAAGATCAAACCGGGGACCAGACCCAGAATGGAATATGACCAGGGAAAGGACATAATAGCCAGACAGATGTACTCAGAGAAAAGCAATGCGGCAGTCTGTTAAACAAGGATCAGTCAATGGATACCCAATTTCCTTATCCGAACGAAGCGCACCTTTTGCCAACTACATGTGCGGTATTTGATTGTGTTCTCCGACTCCATATCAATCTGGCGACCGATGCTTTCTGTCGTCGACGATGAGTCGATTGCAGCGACATGTTGCGAGCCACGGCGGCCCTGCCCCTCAATGTCGAAGTCCTTCAGTTTGGGATCCTGCTCGGACTTGTCGGACAGCTCGGGGCTGCGATCATGGTCTCGGTCATGGTCCCAGCTGGCTGGATTTGGCGATTCCTTTGACACGGCCATTGTTGTATTATAGAGCGGAGGAGCCGCGCTTGTCGGAACTCGGTGGAGATGGGAGGAGAGCTGAAGATCTGCGGATGCATGTAATGCTCGAGAAGATAATTGATAAGATACTGGTCATATGTAAGCTGATTGTGTTTCTTTTGCAGTGTTTGTGTTTCTTGGATAGATGCACTGATTAGATACTTACGCTCAAATGATCAAATCTTAGGTGATCGGCGTGTTGGAAGTAGCCAGTGAACGGATTAGGGCAACTGCGGATACCTGGGGTAGTATTCCCTGAACTGCACACGATTCACAACTAGACCGGATGGGAAGAAGAGATCAAAGAGATCTGAGATCAAAAGAAGAAAGAGAGAGAATAATTTCAAAAAAAGTAAAAGAAAAAAAACTAGAAGCCGGTATAGCAGAATACCAATGGCGCGATCGCATAGCATGTAATTAATCTGGAGAATACCGTCATCTCCGACGTTCCCCACTGGACAGTCTTGACATCCGGAAAAAATTAAAATAATAAAATAAAATAAAATAATTCAACACGAAAAGCAGAAATATGACGTTGTCGTCAGGTCTCAGCCGCAATAGGCGAAGCGTAAGCCGTGGCTTACGCTTGGTCGTGCCAAGGGACTTGGAGTTGGGACC